CCATACATTCACCACCAGTAGTCAGACCATACATTCACCACCAGTAGTCAGACCATACATTCACCAGTAGTCAGACCATACATTCACCACCAGTAGTCAGACCATACATTCACCAGTAGTCAGACCATACATTCACCACCAGTAGTCAGACCATACATTCACCAGTAGTCAGACCATACATTCACCACCAGTAGTCAGACCATACATTCACCAGTAGTCAGACCATACATTCACCAGTAGTCAGACCATACATTCACCACCAGTAGTCAGACCATACATTCACCACCAGTAGTCAGACCATACATTCACCACCAGTAGTCAGACCATACATTCACCACCAGCAGTCAGACCATACATTCACCACCAGTAGTCAGACCATACATTCACCACCAGTAGTCAGACCATACATTCACCAGTAGTCAGACCATACATTCACCAGTAGTCAGACCATACATTCACCAGTAGTCAGACCATACATTCACCAGTAGTCAGACCATACATTCACCAGTAGTCAGACCATACATTCACCAGTAGTCAGACCATACATTCACCAGTAGTCAGACCATACATTCACCAGTAGTCAGACCATACATTCACCAGTAGTCAGACCATACATTAACCAGTAGTCAGACCATACATTCACCAGTAGTCAGACCATACATTCACCAGTAGTCAGACCATACATTCACCAGTAGTCAGACCATACATTCACCAGTAGTCAGACCATACATTCACCAGTAGTCAGACCATACATTCACCAGTAGTCAGACCATACATTAACCAGTAGTCAGACCATACATTCACCAGTAGTCAGACCATACATTAACCAGTAGTCAGACCATACATTCACCAGTAGTCAGACCATATATTAACCAGTAGTCAGACCATACATTCACCAGTAGTCAGACCATACATTCACCAGTAGTCAGACCATACATTCACCAGTAGTCAGACCATACATTCACCAGTAGTCAGACCATACATTAACCAGTAGTCAGACCATACATTAACCAGTAGTCAGACCATACATTCACCAGTAGTCAGACCATACATTCACCACCAGTAGTCAGACCATACATTCACCAGTAGTCAGACCATACATTAACCAGTAGTCAGACCATACATTAACCAGTAGTCAGACCATACATTCACCAGTAGTCAGACCATACATTCACCACCAGTAGTCAGACCATACATTCACCACCAGTAGTCAGACCATACATTCACCAGTAGTCAGACCATACATTCACCACCAGTAGTCAGACCATACATTCACCAGTAGTCAGACCATACATTCACCAGTAGTCAGACCATACATTCACCACCAGTAGTCAGACCATACATTCACCAGTAGTCAGACCATACATTCACCAGCAGTCAGACCATACATTCACCACCAGTAGTCAGACCATACATTCACCAGTAGTCAGACCATACATTCACCACCAGTAGTCAGACCATACATTCACCAGTAGTCAGACCATACATTAACCAGTAGTCAGACCATACATTCACCAGTAGTCAGACCATACATTCACCAGTAGTCAGACCATACATTCACCAGTAGTCAGACCATACATTCACCAGTAGTCAGACCATACATTCACCACCAGTAGTCAGACCATACATTCACCAGTAGTCAGACCATACATTCACCAGTAGTCAGACCATACATTCACCACCAGTAGTCAGACCATACATTCACCAGTAGTCAGACCATACATTCACCACCAGTAGTCAGACCATACATTCACCAGTAGTCAGGACCATCCATTAACCAGTAGTCAGACCATACATTCACCAGTAGTCAGACCATACATTCACCAGTAGTCAGACCATCCATTCCCACCACCAAGTAGTCAGACCATACATTCACCCAGTAGTCAGACATACATTCACCACCAGTAGTCAGACCATACATTCACCAGTAGTCAGACCATACATTCACCACCAGTAGTAGACCATAAATTCACACCAGTCGTCAGACCATACATTCACCACAGTAGTCAGACCATACATTCACCACCAGTAGTCAGACCATACATTCACCAGTAGTCAGACCATACATTCACCACCCAGTAGTCAGACCATACATTCACCACCCAGTAGTCAGACATACATTCACCACCAGTAGTCAGACCATACATTCACCAGTAGTAGACCATACATTCACCAGTAGTCAGACCATACATTCACCACCAGTAGTCAGACCATCCATTCACCAGTAGTCAGACCATCCATTCACCAGTAGTCAGACCATACATTCACCACCAGTAGTCAGACCATACATTCACCACCAGTAGTCAGACCATACATTCACCACCAGTAGTCAGACCATACATTCACCAGTAGTCAGACCATACATTCACCACCAGTAGTCAGACCATACATTCACCACCAGTAGTCAGACCATACATTCACCACCAGTAGTCAGACCATACATTCACCAGTAGTCAGACCATACATTCACCACCAGTAGTCAGACCATACATTCACCACCAGTAGTCAGACCATACATTCACCAGTAGTCAGGTTCTATAACCCTGCAGCTCTTCTGTTCCAGGGTTCCAGCATGACTATGTGATTTTCTGGAAAAAAAATTCTCATTTTGTCCGTCATAGTTGACGTGTACCTATGATGAAAATTACAGGCCTCTCTCATCTTTTTAAGTGGGAGAACTTGCACAATTGGTGGCTGAATTAATACTTTTTTCCCCACTGTACATATCACCTTTTTTTTTTCCCCGGTCAGAATCAGCTGTGAAGGGCTTAGTTGTGTTATTTTTGTTGCGTTTCAGTCTTGTGGTGGGAATACTGAGGTGATGTCAGTGTAAATGTGTCAACATGTTTGAGGTGTTGGCAGCTGCAGAGGCTATTTTTGTTTAGCGTGGCGACATACTCATTATTATATTATTATTACTTATAGAGAATCCTCCTGGTTTATCGACCCCCACCCACCACTCACCATGGTACAGAACTAGTTATAGAGAATCCTCCTGGTTTATCGACCCCCACCCACCACGGTACAGAACTAGTTATAGAGAATCCTCCTGGTTTATCGACCCCACCCACCACTCACCATGGTACAGAACTAGTTATAGAGAATCCTCCTGGTTTATCGACCCCACTCACCACTCACCATGGTACAGAACTAGTTATAGAGAATCCTCCTGGTTTATCGACCCCACCCACCACTCACCATGGTACAGAACTAGTTATAGAGAATCCTCCTGGTTTATCGACCCCCACCACTCACCATGGTACAGAACTAGTTATAGAGAATCCTCCTGGTTTATAGACCCCCACCACTCACCATGGTACAGAACTAGTTATAGAGAATCCTCCTGGTTTATCGACCCCACTCACCACTCACCATGGTACAGAACTAGTTATAGAGAATCCTCCTGGTTTATCGACCCCACCACTCACCATGGTACAGAACTAGTTATAGAGAATCCTCCTGGTTTATCGACCCCCACCACTCACCATGGTACAGAACTAGTTATAGAGAATCCTCCTGGTTTATCGACCCCACTCACCACTCACCATGGTACAGAACTAGTTATAGAGAATCCTCCTGGTTTATCGACCCCCACCCACCACCCTCCATTGTACAGAACTAGTTATAGAGAATCCTCCTGGTTTATAGACCCCACCCACCACTCACCATGGTACAGAACTAGTTATAGAGAATCCTCCTGGTTTATAGACCCCACCACTCACCATTGTACAGAACTAGTTATAGAGAATCCTCCTGGTTTATCGACCCCACCCACCACTCTCCATGGTACAGAACTAGTTATAGAGAATCCTCCTGGTTTATCGACCCCCACCACTCACCATGGTACAGAACTAGTTATAGAGAATCCTCCTGGTTTATAGACCCCACCCACCACTCACCATGGTACAGAACTAGTTATAGAGAATCCTCCTGGTTTATAGACCCCACCACTCACCATTGTACAGAACTAGTTATAGAGAATCCTCCTGGTTTATCGACCCCACCCACCACTCTCCATGGTACAGAACTAGTTATAGAGAATCCTCCTGGTTTATCGACCCCCACCACTCACCATGGTACAGAACTAGTTATAGAGAATCCTCCTGGTTTATCGACCCCCACCCACCACTCACCATGGTACAGAACTAGTTATAGAGAATCCTCCTGGTTTATCGACCCCCACCCACCACTCTCCATGGTACAGAACTAGTTATAGAGAATCCTCCTGGTTTATCGACCCCCACCACTCACCATGGTACAGAACTAGTTATAGAGAATCCTCCTGGTTTATAGACCCCCCCCCACCACTCACCATGGTACAGAACTAGTTATAGAGAATCCTCCTGGTTTATCGACCCCACCCACCACTCTCCACGGTACAGAACTAGTTGCCGGCTGCCCCTCACAAAAGGTCAGTTTGAAATGCGTCGTTCCACCCCTACTATAAATAAATGCACCAGTTAAGATGTTAATTTTTATTACATGTCCATAGGCTATAGTAGTTTTAACAGATTAGCCCCCCCCCTTCCCCCCAAAAAAATGTCCAGCTCAGATTTACTGAAGAGGCATACAACACTGTGGCTTAGCCTACAGACCTGGTTGATATATTTCCTATGTATTCTTTCAGGTTCACAGTGCGGACCGAACCGAGGTTCAGTACGAATATCTATTATGTTACACCCTTAACAGATACAGAAAAACATTTCTAGCCAGAACAGAGAAGACAGAAATAAACAGACAAGTCGTTTAATCTCAGAAGACAGTACAACACTGCTCCGCTCACAGAGAAAGAGTGAGAGGACAGAGTCCCATTGAGGTGATGATCTGGGCTCGGACGCCCGTCATGGATCAGTCCTGTGTCTCGTGTCCCAGTGAACCAATAGATGGATGCCGTAGGCCCTTGCTGTGACCAGAGAGGTGCTCGGCTCTGGGTTCAGCCTGCCGCTGGTGTGGTCTGGCCTCCAGAGGTCAGAGAGGGAGTGGCAGAGCTGGGGCAGGTGTCACCTCTGTTCTGAGGTCCTACTGGACCGCCCCAGGCCCTGCTTCCCTCTGCTGTTCCCCCTGCTGTAGTCTCCCCCCGCCTGGCCCCCCCTACCCTGCTTCCACCTCTGGCCTTTAGCCTCTGGCTCCGAGTCACTGAGCTCCAGGTCCGGGCAGTATCCGTCCGTCTCCTGGTAGGGTGGTGGTCTGGTACCACTGTGTCCTTGGGAGCCTCCAGGAGCTGGTTTGGCCCAGGGCCGGTCCTTGGCTGATCTGGAGCCTTTACCCCCCTGGGACAGCTTGTCCCCCCGCAGGTCCTCCGTGGTCCGCACCAAGCTGACTGTCGCCTCCTTGAACGACTGGTTGAAGTGCTCCATGGTTGACCTCCTGAAGCTGGCTGATTGGCTGGCCTTAACCCCTGACCCCTCAATGGCTTCCTGTTCGCTGGGGGTCTGACAGGCGCTGTCCTTCTGGGCCACGCCTACCATCTTCTCCATCACACCGTTGGATTTGGGGACGTGCCCCGCCCGCTCTGGGTCCAGTTTGACATTTCCATTGGAGGAGTGGCCGTGGAGCGCCAGGGGTTTACCCGTTAAGGTTTTGCCAGTCAGGGGCTTGCCAGTAGGCAGGGCTGAGCCCCTGGCCGTACTGTTGGTCAGTGCTGGTCCAGTGGCGGTACTGCCCTCCCTACGTGACTGACCTGAGGTAGAGAGTAGACTGCCATTAGAGCGCTCCTCTCTCCTGCCTCGCCCATGGAGTGGAGGCTTCCCTCCCCCTTTACCCTTCCCCCCCCCCTCCCCCAACCCCCCTCCTCCCCCACTGTGTTGGTGAACGTTCCCGCTGTTATCCGGACAGAGGGGGCCGTTGCCTGACTTGGAGACGGTCTTCCCGTTACCCAGGGACACTTTGGGCATCTTCAGCTTCAGGGTGATTCTGGGAGGAGGCCGGAACAACATGCTCTCCACCGGGAACAACACAGGCAGACCTGGAGAGAGAAACACCATGAGTCCCAATCTCCACCCTAGAGAGATGACAGACAGACAGACACAACCAGTATCTTACCAGCGGAGACCTCCTGGTTGAGCAGTTTGACGTGGAGGTTGAAGATCTGCTCCTGGGCTTTGCTCTGAGACAGTTTCAGCTTTTCCCTCCGACTCACCATGTAACACAGGTTCCTCACCTGCAGGGGACACAACATGGCCGTCAAGAGAGCAGACGTTGACCCAACATGGTCGTCAAGAGAGCAGACGTTGACCCAACATGGCCGTCAAGAGAGCAGACGTTGACCCAACATGGCCGTCAAGAGAGCAGACGTTGACCCAACATGGCCGTCAAGAGAGCAGACGTTGACCCAACATGGCAGAGAAGGGTATGTTCTAAATCAGAGGTGGGCAAACTTTTTGGCTCGGGGGCCAGTTGGGGATTTTTAACTCCAACCAGTTATAACTAACCTGGTTCATCTTATCAACCAGCTAATTATTAGAATCAGGTGTGCTAGATTAGGGTTGGACTGAAAACCTACAGGAGGGTATCTCTCCAGGAACAGGGTTGAAGTTAAAACCTACAGGAGGGTTTCTCTCCTGGAACAGGGTTGGAGCAAAAACCTACAGGAGGGTATCTCTCCAGGAACAGGGTTGGAGCAAAAACCTACAGGAGGGTATCTCTCCAGGAACAGGGTTGGAGTTAAAACCTACAGGAGGGTATCTCTCCAGGAACAGGGTTGGAGTTAAAACCTACAGGAGGGTATCTCTCCAGGAACAGGGTTGGAGCAAAAACCTACAGGAGGGTATCTCTCCAGGAACAGGGTTGGAGTTAAAACCTACAGGAGGGTATCTCTCCAGGAACAGGGTTGGAGTTAAAACCTACAGGAGGGTTTCTCTCCAGGAACAGGGTTAGAGTTAAAACCTACAGGAGGGTATCTCTCCAGGAACAGGGTTGGAGTTAAAACCTACAGGAGGGTATCTCTCCAGGAACAGGGTTAGAGTTAAAACCTACAGGAGGGTATCTCTCCAGGAACAGGGTTGGAGTTAAAACCTACAGGAGGGTTTCTCCAGGAACAGGGTTGGAGAGCCCTGATCTAATGTAATCAACCACTCCCTCCTGCAGGAACATCCTTATTCGTATGTAGACGCTGTCTTCTAATATATCTATATTAAATATCTAACTAATAAGTAATACTAACCCTCTCTAAGTCCTGTCGGAGGTGCATGAACATCCTCATTCGTGTGTGGATGCTGTCTTCATGAGGCAACAGCAGCAGGTTCTCCTCCTCACTAGGGGGCAGCAGAGCACGGTTGAAGTTGCTCTTCCTCTTCAGTTTCCAGTACTGGTAGATGAAGTCCAGCAGGGTGCGAGGTAGGCCCAGGTTCAGGGCCAGCTCCTCAGGGTGGATCAGAGTATAAAACCCCTCCTCCAGTTCTAATAACCTCTGGGCCCTCAGGCCCCCCCTCTCTGGGTCTATGGGGGGTTTGGGCCGGGCCGGGCTGAGAACGGAGCCTGGCTCGCCTGCCTTGGGCTGCTTGCTGTGGGCTGGCTGACAGGGGCTGAGGCCGGGGGCCGGTGGGTCGGAGGAGGCCTGGTTCTTGGGCTTGCTGTGCTTCAGGCAGTAGGACTTGAACTTCACCTCGTCTCCTTCATCCAGGATGGTCTTCATCTCCAGGCTGTGCTCGAAGGCACACGTCACATGGAACGGGATGGTGCAGTTCTTCACGGAGCACTGAGAGGGATGAGACCCAACACAACAGAATATACACATCATTAACTATATCAGAATAATACAGACATATACTACAAGGCACACATGGAACGGTGCAGTTCTTCACCGAGCACAGTGGGGGATGAAGGAGGATAAGGAGGCTTGATCTCTGGGGGATGGAGGAGGATAAGGAGGGTTGATCTCTGGGGGATGGAGGAGGATAAGGAGCTTTGAACTCTGGGGGATGGAGGAGGATAAGGAGAGTTGAACTCTGGGGGATGGAGGAGGGTTGAACTCTGGGGATGAGGAGGATTGATTTCTGGGGGATGGAGAAGGATAAGGAGAGTTGAACTCTGGGGGATGGAGGAGGATAAGGAGAGTTGAACTCTGGGGGATGGAGGAGGCTTGAACTCTGGGGGATGGAGGAGGATAAGGAGGGTTGATTTCTGGGGGATGGAGAAGGATAAGGAGGGTTGATCTCTGGGGGATGGAGAAGGATAAGGAGAGTTGATCTCTGGGGGATGGAGGAGGATAAGGAGGGTTGATCTCTGGGGGATGGAGAAGGATAAGGAGAGTTGAACTCTGGGGGATGGAGGAGGTTTGAACTCTGGGGGATGGAGGAGGGTTGAACTCTGGGGGATGGAGGATGATAAGGAGGCTTGATCTCTGGGGGATGGAGGAGGATAAGGAGGCTTGATCTCTGGGGGATGGAGGAGGATAAGGAGGATTGATCTCTGGGGGATGGAGGAGGATAAGGAGGGTTGAACTCTGGGGGATGGAGAAGGGTTGAACTCTGGGGGATGGAGGAGGATAGGAGAGTTGAACTCTGGGGGATGGAGGAGGATAAGGAGAGTTGAACTCTGGGGGATGGAGGAGGCTTGAACTCTGGGGGATGGAGGAGGATAAGGAGGGTTGATTTCTGGGGGATGGAGAAGGATAAGGAGAGTTGATCTCTGGGGGATGGAGAAGGATAAGGAGAGTTGAACTCTGGGGGATGGAGGAGGGTTGAACTCTGGGGGATGGAGGATGATAAGGAGGCTTGATCTCTGGGGGATGGAGGAGGATAAGGAGGCTTGATCTCTGGGGGATGGAGGAGGATAAGGAGGCTTGATCTCTGGGGGATGGAGGAGGATAAGGAGGCTTGATCTCTGGGGGATGGAGGAGGATAAGGAGAGTTGAACTCTGGGGGATGGAGGAGGGTTGAACTCTGGGGGATGGAGGAGGATAAGGAGGGTTGAACTCTGGGGGATGGAGGAGGATAAGGAGGCTTGATTTCTGGGGGATGGAGGAGGATAAGGAGGCTTGATCTCTGGGGGATGGAGGAGGATAAGGAGAGTTGAACTCTGGGGGATGGAGAAGGGTTGAGCTCTGGGGGATGGAAGAGGATAAGGAGAGTTGAACTCTGGGATAAGGAGAGTTGAACTCTGGGGGATGGAGGAGGGTTGAACTCTGGGGGATGGAGGAGGATAAGGAGGGTTGAACTCTGGGGGATGGAGAGGATAAGGATGGGTTCATTGACTGATCCTGACACACAACTAATACAAACATTTCACTAGCTACTACAAACACGCAGTCCTAGCTCCGTGCAGACAGCATGACTCACCTGTATGCAGGCTCCAGTCTTCAGTTTACAGAGGCTGCAGATGAGAGCCCAGCGGGAGGGGGGGATGTGAGACACCTTGGTGATGGGCTCCATCCTCTCTGGACACGCTATGCTCACCTGCAGACACATGAAGAACACACTGTTAGTAAGCTTTAATGTTGTGATTTACCATTATTAACACATTCTGACAGGAGAATAAAGAAATCGTTTGATTCTGTGTTTTAATGTTTTATTGGAGCTAAAGTATAAAATGCAATTTGGGTGTTTTAAGGTTATACCTCAGACCCTTCATTTAGGCCCTGGTCAAAAGTAGTGCTCTATGAATTAGGGGTGTAAACAGTTCACCAAACCCACGGTTCAGTACGTATTGCGGTTTTGGGGGTCACAGTTCGGTTTTGTTACAGCGGGAAAATTAAATGCCATTTCTTGCATTGTCTGTTGCAACAGGATTGTTTCCACTCGGATGCTGCGTTTCTTAACCAGGTGGGAATTTACCAGCTGTGAAGTCAAAAATACCAGTTGGATCCATGTGATTTCAACTCGTTGAGAACTGCAGGTTGGCTAATGGCCAACAAGCTGCGTCAACCATAAACTAAAAGCACAGCTATCATGATTGTAAACTAATTATATACACTGCTCAAAAAAATAAAGGGAACACTTAAACAACACAATGTAACTCCAAGTCAATCACACTTCTGTGAAATCAAACTGTCCACTTAGGAAGCAACACTGATTGACAATACATGTCACATGCTGTTGTGCAAATGGAATAGACAACAGGTGGAAATTATAGCCAATTAGCAAGACACCCCCAATAAAGAAGTGGTTCTGCAGGTGGTGACCACAGACCACTTCTCAGTTCCTATGCTTCCTGGCTGATGTTTTGGTCACTTTTGAATGCTGGCGGTGCTTTCACTCTAGTGGTAGCATGAGACGGAGTCTACAACCCACACAAGTGGCTCAGGTAGTGCAGCTCATTCAGGATGGCACATCAATGCGAGCTGTGGCAAGAAGGTTTGCTGTGTCTGTCAGCGTAGTGTCCAGAGCATGGAGGCGCTACCAGGAGACAGGCCAGTACATCAGGAGACGTGGAGGAGGCCGTAGGAGGGCAACAACCCAGCAGCAGGACCGCTACCTCCGCCTTTGTGCAAGGAGGAGCACTGCCAGAGCCCTGCAAAATGACCTCCAGCAGGTCACAAATGTGCATGTGTCTGCTCAAACGGTCAGAAACAGACTCCATGAGGGTGGTATGAGGGCCCGACGTCCACAGGTGGGGGTTGTGCTTACAGCCCAACACCGTGCAGGACGTTTGGCATTTGCCAGAGAACACCAAGATTGGCAAATTCGCCACTGGCGCCCTGTGGACGTCGTGGAGAACGTTCTGCTGCCTGCAACATCCTCCAGGATGACCGGTTTGGCGGTGGGTCAGTCATGGTGTGGGGTGGCATTTCTTTCATGTGCTCGCCAGAAGTAGCCTGACTGCCATTAGGTACCGAGATGAGATCCTCAGACCCCTTGTGAGACCATATGCTGGTGCGGTTGGCCCTGGGTTCCTCCTAATGCAAGACAATGCTAGACCTCATGTGGCTGGAGTGTGTCAGCAGTTCCTGCAAGAGGAAGGCATTGATGCTATGGACTGGCCCGCCCATTCCCCAGACCTGAATCCAATTGAGCACATCTGGGACATCATGTCTCGCTCCATCCACCAACGCCACGTTGCACCACAGACTGTCCAGGAGTTGGCGGATGCTTTTGTCCAGGTCTGGGAGGAGATCCCTCAGGAGACCATCCGCCACCTCATCAGGAGCATGACCAGGCATTGTAGGGAGGTCATACAGGCACGTGGAGGCCACACACACTACTGAGCCTCATTTTGACTTGTTTTAAGGACATTACATCAAAGTTGGATCAGCCTGTAGTGTGGTTTTCCACTTTAATTTTGAGGGTGACTCCAAATCCAGACCTCCATGGGTTGATAAATTTGATTTCCATTGATAATTTGTGTGATTTTGTTGTCAGCACATTCAACTATGTAAAGAAAAAAGTATTTAATAAGATTATTTCATTCATTCAGATCTAGGATGTGTTATTTTAGTGTTCCCTTTATTTTTTTGAGCAGTGTAGTTAAAAAAAAAACACACATTGATAGCTCTATATACAGAATGTTTTTGTTGATGTATTTAACTGCCGAACATGCTGTTATTGAGGTAATTTCCTTAGTAGGTGAGGTCAGAGGTCAGCATGTGGGGGAAGTGTGAGCTCCGGATGATATTTTCCCATTAGTAATTACCAGTTGGGAGTAGATTCCCACTTCCATCTTGGTTACGAACGCTGCTGGGGGCGTATCTGGAGCACGGTACATCTCCCACTCAAATCAAATCACATTTTATTGGTCACATTGGACACATTTAGCAGATGTTATTGCGGGTGTAGCAAAATGCTGGTGTTCCTAGCTCCAACAGTGCAGTAGTATCTAACAATTCACAACAATACACACAAATCTAAAAGTAAAAGAATGGAATTAAGAAATATATAAATATTAGGACGAGCAATGTCAGAGTGACTACAATACTGTAGAATACAGTATATACATATGAGATGAGTAAAGTAGTATGTAAACATGATTAAAGTGACCAGTGATTCCATTATTAAAGTGGCCAGTGATTCCATGTCTATGTATATGGGGCAGCAGCCTCTAAGGTGCAGGGTTGAGTATCCGGGTGGTAGCCGGCTAGTGATGGCTGTTTAACAGTCTGATGGCCTTGAGATAGAAGCTGTTTTTCAGTCTCTCGGTCCCAGCTTTGATGCACCTGTACTGACCTCGCCTTCTGGATGATAGCGGGGTGAACAGGCAGTGGCTCGGGTGGTTGATGTCCTTGATTATCTTTTTGGCCTTTCTGTGACATCGGGTGCTGTATGTGTCTTGGAGGGCGGGTAGTTTGTGGTCCTCTGTAGCTCAGCTGGTAGAGCACGGCGCTTGTAACGCAAAAGGTAGTGGGTTCGATCCCCGGGACCACCCATACACAAAAAAATGTATGCACGCATGACTGTAAGTCGCTTTGGATAAAAGCGTCTGCTAAATGGCATATTATTATTATATTATTAGTTTGCCCCCGGTGATGCGTTGGGCAGACCGCACCACCCTCTGGAGAGCCCTGCTGTTGCGGGCGGTGCAGTTTCCGTACCAGGCGGTGATACAGCCTGACAGGATGCTCTCAATTGTGCATCTGTAAAAGTTTGTGAATTTCTTCCACCTCCTGAGGTTCTTCACCACAGTCTGTGGGGACCATTTCAGATTGTCAGTGATGTGTACGCTGAGGAACTTGAAACTTCTCACCTTCTCCAATGTGGTCCTGTCGATGTGGATAGGGGGGTGCACCCTCTGCTGTTTCCTGAAGTCCACGATCAGCTCCTTCGTTTTGTTGACGTTGAGGGAGAGGTTATTTTCCTGGCACCACTCCGCCAGGGACCTCACCTCCTCCCTGTAGGCTATCAGGCCTACCACTGTTGTGTCGTCTGCAAACGTTGGAGGCGTGCTTGGCCACGCAGTCATGGGTGAACAGGGAGTACAGGAGGGGGCTGAGCACGCACCCTTGTGGGGCCCCTATGTTGAGGATCAGTGTAGTGGAGGTGTTGTTTCCTACCCTCACCACCTGGGGGCGGCCCATCAGAAAGTCCAGGACCCAGTTCAGATCCAGGGCATAATGACGAGCTTGGAGGGTACTATGGTGTTGAAGGCTGAGCTATAGTCAATGAACAGCATTCTTACATAGGTATTCCTCTTGTCCAGATGGGATAGGGCAGTGTGCAGTGTGATAGCAATTGCATCGTCTGTGGATCTATTGGGGCGGTAAGCAAATTGAAGTGGGTCTAGGGTGACAGGTAAGGTGGAGGTGATATGATCCTTAACTAGCCTCTCAAAGCACTTCATTTAGTTCAGTTACCTTTGCTTTCTTGGGTACAGGAACAATGGTGGCCATCTTGAAGCAAGTGGGGACAGCAGACTGGGATAGAGAGAGATGTCCATGAACACACCAGCCAGCTGGTCTGCAATGCTCTGAGGACACAGCTATGGATGCCGTCTGGGCTGGCAGCCCTGCGAGGGTTAACACGCTTAAATGTCTTACTCACTTCGGTCACGGAGAACGAGAGCCCACAGTCCATGGTAGTGGCCGCGTCGGTGGCACTGTGTTATCTTCAAAGCGGGGGAAGGAGTTTAGCTTGTCCGGGACAAAACGTCGGTGTCGGCGACGTGGCTGGTTTTCCCTTTGTAATCCGTGATTGTCTGTAGACCCTGCCACATACGTCTCGTGTTGTTGAATTGCGACCTCACTTGGTCTCTGTACTGACGTTTTGCCTGTTTGATTTTCTTACGGAGGGAATAACTACACTGTTTGTATTCAACCATATTCCCAGTCACCTTGCCATGGTTAAATGCAGTGGTTCGCGCTTTCAGTTTTGTGCGAATGCTGCCGTCTATCCACGGTTTTTGGTTTGGGTAGGTTTTAAGTCACAACATCCCCTGTACACTTCCTGATGAACTCAGTCACCATGTCAGTGTATTCGTCTATGTTATTCTCAGAAGCAACCTGGAACATATCCCAGTTCGTGTGATCAAAGCAATCTTGAAGCATGGATTCCAATTGGTCAGACCAGCATTGAATAGTGTGAGTACTACAGTCAATGCGTTGATAGAACTTCGGTAGCATTTTCCTCAAATTTGCTTTGTTAAAATCCCCAGCTACAATAAATGCAGCCTCAGGATATGGGGTTTCCAGTTTGCATAAAGTAAGTCCAGTGTAGTTCCTTGAGGGCCGTCGTGGTTTCAGCTTGAGGGGGAATATACACGGCTGGGACTATAACCGAAGAGAATTCTCTTGGGAGGTAATACGGTCGGCATTTGATTGTGATGTATTCTAGGTCGGGTGAACAAAAGGACTACAGTTCCTGTACATTGCCACTATCACACCATGAGTAGTTAATCATGAAACATAAACCACCGCCTTTCTTCTTCCTGGAGAGTTCTTTATTCCTGTCTGCGCGATGTACTGAGAACCCAGCTGGCTGTATGGACGGGGACAGTATATCCGGAGAGAGCCATGATTCCGTGAAACAGAATATGTTACAGTCCCTGATGTGTCTCTGGAAGGAGATCTTCGCCCTGAGCTCGTCTACTTTATTGTCCAGAGACTGAACATTAGCGAGTAATATACTCGGAAGTGGTGGATGGTGTGCACGCCTCCTGAGTCGGACTAGAAGTCCACTCCGAATACTTCTTCTCCGCAGGCAGCGTCTTGGAGCAGCCTCTGGGATAAGTTCAGTTGCCTTGGGGAACAAAGGATCCAATTCGGAAAAGTCTTATTTTTGGTCGTAATGCTGGTGAGTTACCGCCACTGATATCCAAAAGTTATTTCCGGCTGTATGTTATAACTAAAAAAACTTTCTGGGCTAATAATGTAAGATATAACACAAAAAAAAGAAATACTGCAAAGTTGCTTAGGAGCTAGAAGCAGAGCTGCCATGTCTGTTGCTTAGGAGCTAGAAGCAGAGCTGCCATGTCTGTTGCTCAGGAGCTAGAAGCAGAGCTGCCATGTCTGTTGCTTAGGAGCTAGAAGCAGAGCTGCCATGTCTGTTGCTTAGGAGCTAGAAGCAGAGCTGCCATGTCTATTGCTTAGGAGCTAGAAGCAGAGCTGCCATGTCTATTGCTTAGGAGCTAGAAGCAGAGCTGCCATGTCTGTTGCTTAGGAGCTAGAAGCAGAGCTGCCATGTCTGTTGCTTAGGAGCTAGAAGCAGAGCTGCCATGTCTGTTGCTCAGGAGCTAGAAGCAGAGCTGCCATGTCTGTTGCTCAGGAGCTAGAAGCAGAGCTGCCATGTCTGTTGCTTAGGAGCTAGAAGCAGAGCTGCCATGTCTGTTGCTTAGGAGCTAGAAGCAGAGCTGCCATGTCTGTTGCTTAGGAGCTAGAAGCATCGACCCCACCACTCTCCATGGTACAGAACTAGTTATAGAGAATCCTCCTGGTTTATAGACCCCCACCACTCACCATGGTACAGAACTAGTTATAGAGAATCCTCCTGGTTTATCGACCCCCACCACTCACCATGGTACAGAACTAGTTATAGAGAATCCTCCTGGTTTATCGACCCCCACCCACCACTCACCATGGTACAGAACTAGTTATAGAGAATCCTCCTGGTTTATAGACCCCACCACTCTCCATTGTACAGAACTAGCTCCCGGCCGCCCCTCACAAAAGGACCGTTTGAAATGCGCCAATTAAAAATCCCCCCCCCCCCCCCCCAGCTCAGATTTACGCAAGAGGCATAGAACAGAGCGTGTTTCAAAGTATTCACAGGGTTCACGAGGTCCCTGCACCGAACAGTTCGGTACAAATACATGTATCGTTCCACCCCAAATGGAAGAGGGAGTAATCCTTTACCTCAGGGATCCACAGGGCACAGCTGACGTGTGCCCACTTGGTGCCCGCCCTCGTAGCCTTCATCGCCCCGCCCTTGATGGGGCACAGCTGACACTGGGGGTCGATGCCCAGAACACATGTCCTGCACAGCCAGTTACCCTCCGGCACCTTCACTATCCCATAGCACGCCTGGGCAGGAGAAGAGAGAGAGTTACATAACACACAAGGAGGTAGTCAGATTCCTACCTGGTGAACACAGATGTTGCCTTGTCACAGAAGACCATGACGTTGCCCTCCTCACTAGTAAATATATTCAGTGGCCAGTTTATTAGATACACTCCTCTATACTGAACATAAATACAACATGTAAAGTGACGGTCCCATGTTTCATGAGCTGAAATAAAAGATCCCAGATATTTTCCATACCCACAAAAAAGCATATTTCTCTCAAATTTTGTGCACACATTTGTTTACATCCCTGTTAGGGAGTATTTCTCTTTGCCAAGATAATCCATCCACCTGACAGGTGTGGCATATCAAGAAGCTGATTAAACAGCATGATCATTACACAGGTGCACCTTGTGCTGGGGACAATAAAAGGCCACTAAAATCTGCAGTTATCACACAACACAATGCCACCAATGGCAAAGGTCGGGCAAAGGTCGGGCTGCCTTCTGAGGATTAGTAGGCGAATGAGTAAACTTCCACTTCCCTCCGTTCTATTGGCTACGTGCAATGATTGGAAAACAAAATGGATGATCTATGATCAAGACTATCCTACCCAGGGACATTAAAAACTGTAATATATTATGTTTCACGAGACGTGGCTGAACAACGACACGGATAATACGGAGCTGGCTGGCTTCTCCGTGCATCGGCAGGACAGAGCAGCTACGTCTGGTAAGACGAGGGGCGGGGGTGTGTGTCCATTTGTCAATAACTGCTTGTGCGCGATGTCTAATATTACAGAAGTCTTGAGGTATTGATCGCCTGAGGTAGAGTACCTCATGATAAACTGTAGACCCACTATCTACCAAGAGAGTTCTCATCTATATTATTCCTAGCTGTCTATTTACCACCACAAACCGATGCTGGCACTAAGACCGCACTCAACGAGCTGTATAAGGCCATAAGCAAACAAGAAAATGCTAATTCAGAAGTGGCGCTCCTAGTGGCCGGGGACTTTAATGCAGGCAAACTTAAATCTGTTTTACCTAATTTGCAAAAAATAAAAATACCTCTAGCCCATCTTTACTCCACACACAGAGACGCATACAAAGCTCTCCCTCGCCCTCCATTTGGCAAATCTGACCATAATTCTATCCTCCTGATTCTTGCTTACAAGCAAAAACTAAAGCAGGAAGTACCAGTGACTCGCTCAATACGGAAGTGGTCAGATGAAGTGGATGTTATAGGACTGTTTTCCTAGCACAGACTGGAATATGTTCCGGGATTCATCCAATGGCATTGAGGAGTTTACCACCTCAGTCACCGGCTTCATCAATAAGTGCATCAACGACGTCGTCCCCACAGTGACCGTACGTACATATCCCAACCAGAAGTCATGGATTACAGGCAACATCCGCACCGAGCTAAAGGCTAGAGCTGCTGCTTCAAGGAGCGGGACTCTAACCCGGACACTTATAAGAAATCCCACTACGCCCTCCGACGAACCATCAAACAGACAAAGCGTCAATACAGGATTAAGATTGAATCGTACTACACCGGCTCTGACGCTCGTCGGATGTGGCAGGGCTTGAAAACTATTACGGACTACAAAGGGAAACCCAGACACGAGCTGCCCAGTGACCAGAGCCTACCAGACAAGCTAAATGCCTTTTATGCTCGCTTCGAGGCAAGCAACACTGAAGCATGCATGAGAGCACCAGCTGTTCCGGACTGTGTGATAACGCTCTCGGTAGCCGATATGAGCAAGACCTTTAAACAGGTCAACATTCACAAGGCCGCGGGACCAGACGGATTACCAGGACGTGTGAAAGGCTGGTCATGGCTTACATCAACAGCATCATCCCGGATACCCTAGACATTTACATTTTAGTCATTTAGCAGACGCTCTTATCCAGAGCGACTTACAGTTAGTGGGTACATACATTTCCATACTGGCCCCCCGTGGGAAACGAACCCACAACCCTGGCGTTGGAAGCGCCATGCTCTACCAACTGAGCTACAGGGGACTCCAACTCGCCTCAACAGATCCACAGATGACGCAATCTCAATCGCACTCCACACTGCCCTTTCCCACCTGGACAAAAGGAACACCTACGTGAGAATGCTGTTCATTGACTACAGCTCAGCGTTCAACACCATAGTGCCCTCAAAGCTCATCACTAAGCTCAGGGCCCTGGGACTAAACACCTCCCTCTGCAACTGGATCCTGGACTTCCTGACGGGCCGCCCCCAGGTGGTAAGGGTAGGCAACAACACGTCTGAGAACGATGAGACAGCCTATAGGAAGGAGGTCAGAGACCTGGCCGTGTGGTGCCAGGACAACAATCTCTCGCTCAATGTGAGCAAGACAAAGGAGCTGATTGTGGACTAGAGGAAAAGGAGGGCCGAACACGCCACCATTAACATCGACGGGGCTGTAGTGGAGTGCGTCGAGAGTTAAGTTCCTTGGTGTCCACATCACCAACAAACTATCATGGACCAAACACACCAAGACAGTCGTGAAGAGGGCACGACAACACCTTTTCCCCCTCAGGAGACTGAAAAGATTTGGCATGGGTCCCCAGATCCTCAAAAAGTTATACAGCTGCACCATCGAGAGCATCCTGACTGGTTGCATCACCGCCTGGTATGGCAACTGCTCGGCATCCGACCGCAAGGCACTACAGAGGGTAGTGCGTACGGCCCAGTACATCACTGGGGCCAAGCTTCCTGCCATCCAGGACCTCTATACCAGGCTGTGTCAGAGGAAGGCCCTAAAAATTGCCAAAGACTCCAGTCACCCAAGTCATAGACTGTTCTCTCTGCTACCGCACAGCAAGTGATACCGGAGCGCCAAGTCTAGGTCCAAAAGGCTCCTTAACAGCTTCTACCCCGAAGCCATAAGACTGCTGAACAATTAATCAAATGGCCACCTGGACTATTTACATTGACCCCCCCTACTCTCTGTTTATTATCTATGCATAGTCACTTTACCCCTACCTACATGTACAAATTACCTCGACTAACCTGTACCCCCGCACATTGACTCGGTACCGGTACCCCCTGTATATAGCCTCATTATTACCTGGACTAACCTGTACCCAGCCCATTGACTCGGTACCGGTACCCCCTGTATATAGCCTCATTATTACCTGGACTAACCTGTACCCCAGCCCATTGACTCGGTACCGGTACCCCCTGTATATAGCCTCATTATTACCTGGACTAACCTGTACCCCAGCCCATTGACTCGGTACCGGTACCCCCTGTATATAGCCTCATTATTACCTGGACTAACCTGTACCCCAGCCCACTGACTCGGTACCGGTACCCCCTGTATATAGCCTCATTATTGTTATTTTATTGTGTTACTTTTTACTTTAGTTTATTTAGTAAATATTTTCTAACTCTTCCTTGAACTGCATTGTTGGTTAAGGGATTGTAAGTAAGCATTTCACGGTAAGGTCTACATCTGTTGTATTCGGCCCATGTGACAAATAAAGTTTGATTTGATAGGTTGGAGGACGTCCTCTGGACGTTGTCATAATTACTGTATAAGTCTATGGAAGGGGGGTGAGAACCATGAGCCTCCTAGGTTTTGTATTGAAGTCAATGTACCCAGAGGAGGATGGAAGCTAGCTGTCCTCCGGCTACACCATGGTGCTACCCTACAGAGTGCTGTTGAGGCTAACAGTGTGTTCTAAACTTGAGACCGGTAGTGTATATTTAAGCAATAAGGCCCGAGGAGGTGTGGTATATGGCCAATATACCACGGATAAGGGCTGTTCTTACAAACGACGCAACACAGAGTCCCAGGATACAGCCCTTAGCCGTGGTATATTGGCCATATACCACACCTCCTCGGGCCTTATTGCTGTTATAAACTGGTTACCAACGTAATTAGAGCAGTAAAAAGCAACTTTTTGTCATACCCATGGTATACTGTCTGATATACCACGGCTGTCAGCCAATCAGCATTCAGGGCTCGACCCACCCAGTTTATAATTCGTATTATATATTTCTCTAGTTAGTAGGCAGTCAGGTTCCTACCTGATGAACACAGATGTTACACTTGTCACAGAAGACCATGTCGTTGCCCTCCTCGCTGTCGGGGGAGCGACACACGTCACAGATGACGTCCTCGTCGTACTCGATGCCCAGCCCTTCTACCGTGTCGATGGCATGGTTCATGTTGTCATGGCAATGACGCTCCAAAGCCTCCATGGTGCGCTCCATTGTCAGCTCGTCTACAGGACCCTCCCCTGGGGAATGACATAGCACAGATAGACCCAGAGAGATAAGCACAGTTAGACCCAGAGAGATAAGCACAGTTAGACCCAGAGAGATAAGCACAGTTAGACCCAGAGAGATAAGCACAGTTAGACCCAGAGAGATAAGCACAGATAGACCCAGAGAGATAAGCACAGTTAGACCCAGAGAGATAAGCACAGTTAGACCCAGAGAGATAAGCACAGTTAGACCCAGAGAGATAAGCACAGTTAGACCCAGAGAGATAAGCACAGTTAGACCCAGAGAGATAAGCACAGTTAGACCCAGAGAGATAAGCACAGTTAGACCCAGAGAGATAAGCACAGTTAGACCCAGAGAGATAAGCACAGATAGACCCAGAGAGATAAGCACAGTTAGACCCAGAGAGATAAGCACAGTTAGACCCAGAGAGACAGAAGAACATCTGCTGATTATAAATACATTTGATTGAATTTGACAACGACAGCGTTGCTGCCCGTAGCCACACTCCTCTGTTCTCCACAAAGCCCCATAAGATACTGAGGGAAGAGCAAGCCCCATAAGATACTGAGGGAAGAGCAGCATCACCAAGGTTCCAAATCACCTTGCACTCCAAATAACCACTCATTATGTGATCAAGATGAGCCAATCTGGGCAGAGCCTTACTCAAGCCAATCCCCTGGAAGGTGGTGGTGTGAAGCATGTCACATGCTTCCCAGTCTAAACAGTTCAAGCATATATTATGAAATGTTGTGACTTTTTTCTCTCGTTTTGGTGTTCGGCAGTTTTTTTTGGGGGGGGCTGTTCCAGCACACACATTTTTTCTTGAGGCAAGTCGAAGTTCGGTAGCTGAAGTCTACCCCCCTTTGTCTGTGATTGGTCAACAGTACTACTCCTAGTGTCTGTGATTGGTCAACAGTACTACTCCTAGTGTCTGTGATTGGTCAACAGTACTACTCCTAGTGGTAACTATAGACAGGATTCTTCAATTAAGTGTTTGTCATTCAACAAGCAACTACTAGTTTTCATGCACATTTTTTCACTTGAGAAATACTGGACCAAATATCTTAAGATGTAAAATTGCATGACCTCAGCAAAAACGTCAAAATTCATTACAGATTTATTTATCTTAGATTCATTTTGACTATTTTGAGGAAGTAGTATATTGGCTGTTGTTGCTACAGCGTCTCAAGAGGGACAAACAGTACTATTGCCGCTTTTTTCTTGTTTTCAAGCGTATAATTCTGCCAGGAGCAAACCCAACCGATGTAAACGGGCGGATGCCTTTAGGGTGCCATTTGGAACGCAGCCACAGCCTATGAGAAGGTTTGTGGTCCTTACCCATGTGTCCCAGCCTATGAGAAGGTTTGTGGTCCTTACCCATGTGTCCTAGCTCAGCGTTGAGAGCCTGCAGCCAGTAGAGGTCCATGTCATCCAGATCATAAGGACACATGGCTTCAGCCAGCTCCTTGATGTTAACATAACCCGTCTCTGTCGAGTCCTGACTCCAGCACTGGATATACCTCCTCTGGAGAGTGAATAACACCTCCTTAGGCTTCTCCGCTATGTTCCTACAGAAACAAATGCAAACAATTGTAAGGAATCACTCGCAACTTGTGAAGTCGTCCAGTACCCAGAAAAACAGAGAGAGCCAGTAGCTCTTTAAACTCATACCCTCTATAAAAAAAAAGGTCCTATATCACCCAGACAGCTGCATATATAGTGGCTCTCTCTCCTATATCACCCAGACAGCTGCATATATAATATATAGTGGCGTTCTCTCTCAGAACAAAGCATAGCTCTTTAATCTCATACCCGTAGACGGGTTGAAAATGGCAGATTTGGACACTGATAAGCACCTAAATTGTAACGTAGTGGCTGGACAGTAACATGCTATACATGACGTCAGAGCTCAGTGGCTGGACAGTAACATGCTATACATGACGTCAGAGCTCTGGGTCTGTACAGTAACATGCTATACATGACGTCAGAGCTCTGGTTCTGGACAGTAACACGCTATACATGACGTCAGAGCTCAGTGGCTGGACAGTAACACGCTATACATGACGTCAGAGCTCTGGTTCTGGACAGTAACATGCTATACATGACGTCAGAGCTCAGTGTCTGGACAGTAACACGCTATACATGACGTCAGAGCTCTGGTTCTGGATAGTAACACGCTATACATGACGTCAGAGCTCAGTGGCTGGACAGTAACATGCTATACATGACGTCAGAGCTCTGGTTCTGGACAGTAACATGCTATACATGACGTCAGAGCTCAGTGTCTGGACAGTAACACGCTATACATGACGTCAGAGCTCTGGTTCTGGATAGTAACACGCTATACATGACGTCAGAGCTCAGTGGCTGGACAGTAACATGCTATACATGACGTCAGAGCTCAGTGGGCTGGACAGTAACATGCTATACATGACGTCAGAGCTCAGTGGGCTGGACAGTAACATGCTATACATGACGTCAGAGCTCAGTGGCTGGACAGTAACATGCTATACATGACGTCAGTGCTCAGTGGCTGGACAGTAACATGCTATACATGACGTCAGAGCTCAGTGGCTGGACAGTAACATGCTATACATGACGTCAGAGCTCAGTGGCTGGACAGTAACATGCTATACATGACGTCAGAGCTCTGGTTCTGGACAGTAACATGCTATACATGACGTCAGAGCTCAGTGGCTGGACAGTAACATGCTATACATGACGTCAGAGCTCAGTGGCTGGACAGTAACATGCTATACATGACGTCAGAGCTCTGGGCCTGTACAGTAACACGCTATACATGACGTCAGAGCTCTGGTTCTGGACAGTAACATGCTATACATGACGTCAGAGCTCAGGGTCTGCGCTTCACAGCGCTGTGTGGGTTTTGACTGACAGCCGTTCTGAACTTGATCACAACAAGTTGCCCCCGTCCCTCCTGCTAATTGGCCAACTTCGCCCCGTCCCTCCTGCTAATTGGCCAACTTCTGCACACTTCTTTTTGTCTGAGTGAGGGAATTGCTGTAAATGATGAGGACTCTATGCATTTAGAAAAGGTTTATAATAAATACCGCTTTGATGTCATACAAGCAAGGGAAACACCCGTGAGTCCAAATGTGCACCTTGTTACAAGATGACATGGTGTTATACCCTGTATTGTCCTGTACAGAATGAGCCGGTGTATATTATGAAGAATATTTGCCGGACCACACGTCGAAATGCACGCATGACTCCATTCAATGAGCACCAAGAAGACGACATGCTTCTCTGAACTGCCTTGTGAAAGCCTGACACTGAAAGATCTTATTTTATCATTTAGCTAGTCATGTTGGCAATAGAACAAGCTTTCAAATGATGCCCAACTGACCCAGATTGGGATTTATATAAATGGACCATTTCTGGATTGTGTAAACATCCGGGATGGAGGACTATGCTCCAAACAGAGTGTGCAGGCTCTAGTTCCTCAACGGAAATGGTTCCTTATAATTTAAGACTCTTCTTTGAATCATAAAAGTCCATTGACATTCCTTAGGAACTGTGCACACTTTGGAGAGGTGTGGCCACTTGGAGACAGCAGTTAGACCGCTCACTCAAACCCACAGTCTGGAGAGGGGTGTGGCCACTTGGAGACAGCAGTTAGACCTCTCACTCAAACGCTTGGCATTTTTTTGTCTTACATTGCACGTTCATGTTACTGAATGTATCCAGAGTATTTTCAGATTTCGTTATCAACAAATGCTGTGAAAAGTACAGCAAATGTAAAATGTAAATAAAGTCAACAGTGTAGTGTTTGGACTCTGACTTGTGTCAGGTGAACTGATGTGTCCTCACCTTTAGTCTAATCATTCCCCCATCATCTCCTCACCTTTAGTCTAATCATTCCCCCATCATCTCCTCACCTTTAGTCTAATCATTCAGCCATCATCTCCTCACCTTTAGTCTAATCATTCACCCATCATCTCCTCACCTTTAGTCTAATCATTCACCCATCATCTCCTCACCTTTAGTCTAATCATTCACCCATCATCTCCTCACCTTTAGTCTAATCATTCACCCATCATCTCCTCACCTTTAGTCTAATCATTCACCCATCATCTCCTCACCTTTAGTCTAATCATTCACCCATCATCTCCTCACCTTTAGTCTAATCATTCACCCATCATCTCCTCACCTTTAGTCTAATCATTCACCCATCATCTCCTCACCTTTAGTCTAATCATTCACCCATCATCTCCTCACCTTTAGTCTAATCATTCAGCCATCATCTCCTCACCTTTAGTCTAATCATTCACCCATCATCTCCTCACCTTTAGTCTAATCATTCACCCATCATCTCCTCACCTTTAGTCTAATCATTCACCCATCATCTCCTCACCTTTAGTCTAATCATTCACCCATCATCTCCTCACCTTTAGTCTAATCATTCACCCATCATCTCCTCACCTTTAGTCTAATCATTCAGCCATCATCTCCTCACCTTTAGTCTAATCATTCAGCCATCATCTCCTCACCTTTAGTCTAATCATTATCTCCAAACGGTTCCCTTTTAATTGCTACCATAGTTATGCATTCCATATTACTTCTGGAAGGAACATTCCAATCTATCCCTATAGGCCAATTCCCAGGAGGGCTGATCTCTCTCACATTGCAGAAGAAAATAACTCCACACACAAGACTTCACCTGCTTTAAATAGTATTTTTTACTATGTGGATTTTGGTGCTGCAACTCCCTGCACCACAAAGGGAAAAGTATGGCAGTGTGTTGTTAAGACAGGAGGAGACAGGAGGAGACAGGAGGAGACAGGAGGAGACAGGTGGAGACAGGAGGAGACAGGTGGAGACAGGTGTGTTGTTAAGACAGGAGGAGACAGGAGGAGACAGGTGGAGACAGGAGGAGACAGGTGTGTTGTTAAGACAGGAGGAGACAGGAGGAGACAGGAGGAGACAGGAGGAGACAGGAGGAGACAGGAGGAGACAGGTGTGTTGTTAAGACAGGAGGAGACAGGTGTGTTGTTAAGACAGGAGGAGACAGGTGTGTTGTATGGTTACCTGATGGAGGCGTGTGGGATGGTTTCGGGGAAGGCCGGCACCTGCACACCCTTCTCCCACTCCTGTCTCCAGGTGTCCCCCAGCAGATAGTAGTCTTCAGGGGAGACATGGTGAGAGTCAGGCAGCTTCATGGCACTGATCAGGTCTTTCCTGAACACCTGGGGAGGAAGGAGAGGGGGTATCAACAGGCTGACAGAGCCCTTCTACCATGGGGAGGAAGGAGAGGGTATCAACAGGTTGACAGAGCCCTTCTACCATGGGGAGGAAGGAGAGGGGGTATCAACAGGCTGACAGAGCCCATCTACCATGGGAGGAAGGAGAGGGTATCAACAGGCTGACAGAGCCCTTCTACATGGGGAGGAAGGAGAGGGGGTATCAACAGGCTGACAGAGCCCTTCTACCATGGGGAGGAAGGAGAGGGTATCAACTGGCTGACAGAGCCCTTCTACCATGGGGAGGAAGGAGAGGGGGTATCAACAGGCTGACAGAGCCCTTCTACCATGGGGAGGAAGGAGAGGGTATCAACAGGCTGACAGAGCCCTTCTACCATGGGGAGGAAGGAGAGGGGGTATCAACAGGCTGACAGAGCCCTTCTACCATGGGGAGGAAGGAGAGGGTATCAACAGGCTGACAGAGCCCTTCTACCATGGGGAGGAAGGAGAGGGTATCAACAGGCTGACAGAGCCCTTCTACCATGGGGAGGAAGGAGAGGGTATCAACAGTCTGACAGAGCCCTTCTACCATGGGGAGGAAGGAGAGGGGGTATCAACAGGCTGACAGAGCCCTTCTACCATGGGGAGGAAGGAGAGGGGGTATCAACAGGCTGACAGAGACCTTCTACCATGGGGAGGAAGGAGAGGGGGTATCAACAGGCTGACAGAGCCCTTCTACATGGGGAGGAATGAGAGGGGGTATCAACAGGCTGACAGAGCCCTTCTACCATGGGGAGGAAGGAGAGGGGGTATCAACAGGCTGACAGAGACCTTCTACCATGGGGAGGAATGAGAGGGGGTATCAACAGGCTGACAGAGACCTTCTACCATGGGAAGGAATGAGAGGGGGTATCAACAGGCTGACAGAGACCTTCTACCATGGGGAGGAATGAGAGGGGGTATCAACAGGCTGACAGAGCCCTTCTACCATGGGGAGGAAGGAGAGGGGGTATCAACAGGCTGACAGAGACCTTCTACCATGGGGAGGAAGGAGAGGGGGTATCAACAGGCTGACAGAGCCCTTCTACATGGGGAGGAAGGAGAGGGTATCAACAGGCTGACAGAGCCCTTCTACCATGGGGAGGAAGGAGAGGGTATCAACAGGCTGACAGAGCCCTTCTACCATGGGGAGGAAGGAGAGGGTATCAACAGGCTGACAGAGCCCTTCTACCATGGGGAGGAAGGGGAGAGGGGGTATCAACAGGCTGACAGAGCCCTTCTACCATGGGGAGGAAGGAGAGGGTATCAACAGGCTGACAGAGCCCTTCTACCATGGGAGGAAGGAGAGGGTATCAACAGGCTGACAGAGACCTACCATGGGGAGGAAGGGGAGAGGGGGTATCAACAGGCTGACAGAGCCCTTCTACCATGGGAGGAAGGAGAGGGTATCAACTGGCTGACAGAGCCCTTCTACCATGGGGAGGAAGGAGAGGGGGTATCAACAGGCTGACAGAGCCCTTCTACCATGGGGAGGAAGGGGAGAGGGTATCAACTGGCTGACAGAGCCCTTCTACCATGGGGAGGAAGGGGAGAGGGGGTATCAACAGGCTGACAGAGCCCTTCTACCATGGGGAGGAAGGAGAGGGTATCAACAGGCTGACAGAGCCCTTCTACCATGGGGAGGAAGGAGAGGGGGTTTCAACAGGCTGACAGAGCCCTTCTACCATGGGGAGGAAGGAGAGGGTATCAACAGGCTGACAGAGACCTTCTACCATGGGGAGGAAGGAGAGGGTATCAACTGGCTGACAGAGACCTACCATGGGGAGGAAGGGGAGAGGGTATCAACTGGCTGACAGAGCCCTTCTACCATGGGGAGGAAGGGGAGAGGGGGTATCAACAGGCTGACAGAGCCCTTCTACCATGGGGAGGAAGGAGAGGGTATCAACAGGCTGACAGAGCCCTTCTACCATGGGGAGGAAGGGGAGAGGGGGTATCAACAGGCTGACAGAGCCCTTCTACCATGGGGAGGAAGGAGAGGGGGTATCAACAGGCTGACAGAGCCCTTCTACCATGGGGAGGAAGGGGAGAGGGGGTATCAACAGGCTGACAGAGCCCTTCTACCATGGGGAGGAAGGGGAGAGGGGGTATCAACAGGCTGACAGAGCCCTTCTACCATGGGGAGGAAGGAGAGGGGGTATCAACAGGCTGACAGAGCCCTTCTACATGGGGAGGAAGGAGAGGGTATCAACAGGCTGACAGAGCCCTTCTACCATGGGGAGGAAGGGGAGAGGGGGTATCAACAGGCTGACAGAGCCCTTCTACCATGGGGAGGAAGGGGAGAGGGGGTATCAACAGGCTGACAGAGCCCTTCTACCATGGGGAGGAAGGAGAGGGTATCAACAGGCTGACAGAGCCCTTCTACCATGGGGAGGAAGGAGAGGGTATCAACAGGCTGACAGAGCCCTTCTACCATGGGGAGGAAGGAGAGGGGGTATCAACAGGCTGACAGAGCCCTTCTACCATGGGGAGGAAGGAGAGGGTATCAACAGGCTGACAGAGCCCTTCTACCATGGGGAGGAAGGGGAGAGGGGGTATCAACAGGCTGACAGAGCCCTTCTACCATGGGGAGGAAGGAGAGAGGGTATCAACAGGCTGACAGAGCCCTTCTACCATGGGGAGGAAGGAGAGGGTATCAACAGGCTGACAGAGCCCTTCTACCATGGGGAGGAAGGAGAGGGGGTATCAACAGGCTGACAGAGCCCTTCTACCATGGGGAGGAAGGAGAGGGTATCAACAGGCTGACAGAGCCCTTCTACCATGGGGAGGAAGGGGAGAGGGGGTATCAACAGGCTGACAGAGCCCTTCTACCATGGGGAGGAAGGAGAGAGGGTATCAACAGGCTGACAGAGCCCTTCTACCATGGGGAGGAAGGAGAGGGTATCAACAGGCTGACAGAGCCCTTCTACCATGGGGAGGAAGGAGAGGGTATCAACAGGCTGACAGAGCCCTTCTACCATGGGGAGGAAGGAGAGGGTATCAACAGGCTGACAGAGCCCTTCTACCATGGGGAGGAAGGGGAGAGGGTATCAACAGGCTGACAGAGCCCTTCTACCATGGGGAGGAAGGAGAGGGTATCAACAGGCTGACAGAGCCCTTCTACCATGGGGAGGAAGGAGAGGGGGTATCAACAGGCTGACAGAGCCCTTCTACCATGGGGAGGAAGGAGAGGGGGTATCAACAGGCTGACAGAGCCCTTCTACCATGGGGAGGAAGGAGAGGGGGTATCAACAGGCTGACAGAGCCCTTCTACCATGGGGAGGAAGGAGAGGGGGTATCAACAGGCTGACAGAGCCCTACCATGGGGAGGAAGGAGAGGGGGTATCAACACTGTTGCATGTAAAGAATACTCAGGAAGCTGCAGCTTTCTGACCATGCATCCCAAATGGCACCCTATTTTTTTTATATATTTTATTTTACCTAAATGGTGCACTACTTTTGACCAGAGCCCTATGGGGTTGTCATTTGGGACACAACCTGAGAGATATGATAAGCAGACAGCCTACAGACTGGAAACAGTGTTCTTCTCATACTGTACCTCTGCTGGTTTCTTGGGCATGGAAGCGGGGGTTCCAGGTTTGCTTCCATACTTGTTGGAGGAGCAGGAAGTGGAAGGACCTGTTAGAGAGAGGAACAGGGCGTACGTACCACTGCTGGGCTCAATTCTAATTGAAGGCAGTCAATTCAGGAAGTAAACTAAAACTACAATTCAATCAAAAAAAAATTGCATTTCTTTTCAATGACTTCTCAATAAAATGAAAAGTAGTAGCTATTTATTTCAAACGTTTTAACACTTCCTGAATTGACTGCCTTCATTTCAAACTGAGCCAACCCTGGTACATGCATGACCTGTTTTTTTCGGAAGTTTTTTTTGTCAAGATGAAAACGGAAAACATGCTCAAAGAAATACATATACACTAGGTAGAAATACATATACACTAGGTAGAAATACATATACACTAGGTAGAAATACATATACACTAGGTAGAAATAAAAACCACATCGTTTTAGGTAATGATGTTTATTCAGAAAGTTAACTCACTCTCATTGTCAGAACTGTCACTGCTGCTTGAAGACCTGAGCCGTTTCATCCTGATGTATCCTACAGGGAGGAGGGGAGAGGCAGGAGAAGCTGAGCAATGAGACGGAGAATAACTACATGAGCCCAATGGGAGACTGAAGAACTTTCATCATATCCAATAACATCTATCATACCCCTTTTATATCTAAACAAAAACATGCACCATCATACCGTCTTCTTTATATCTGAAAGCTGCAGGGGGTAAAAATCACAGTACAGTAAAACCTGCTATGGGACCTAGTTGTGATGGTGGTATTTTCTTTTTTAAAATCTGCCTCCACCTCTGAAAACGTCGTGGTAATCCTGAAGCGACATTGGCACGCACTACGCTTAAGCTCTGTGACTGACGACCTGACGCACGACTCTCACTTGGGTGGACCAATCACAAAGCTTAGCAGAGATGACGCACTTCCTGCCCGTTTCCACCCCTCTCACCGTTGCCGGCTACGCACCGACAAGAAAGTGGGACTGTTCGAAAGGGGGCCAGTGTGGATGTAGAGGAGTTCCAGTCCTGCCTATGTTGTTAGAGAAAAGGAGAGCTCCTCTCCAGCTAGGATGGAGTCCGTCACTCCTCAGCAGGCCAGGCTTGGTCCTGTAGCACCCCTCCAGCTAGGATGGAGTCCATCACTCCTCAGCAGGCCAGGCTTGGTCCTGTAACACCCCTCCAGCTAGGATGGAGTCCATCACTCCTCAGCAGGCCAGGCTTGGTCCTGTACCACCCCTCCAGCTAGGATGGAGTCCGTCACTCCTCAGCAGGCCAGGCTTGGTCCTGTAGCACCCCTCCAGCTAGGATGGGTCCATCACTCCTCAGCAGGCCAGGCTTGGTCCTGTACCACCCCTCCAGCTAGGATGGAGTCCGTCACTCCTCAGCAGGCCAGGCTTGGTCCTGTAGCACCCCTCCAGCTAGGATGGGTCCATCACTCCTCAGCAGGCCAGGCTTGGTCCTGTAGCACCCCTCCAGCTAGGATGGAGTCCATCACTCCTCAGCAGGCCAGGCTTGGTCCTGTAGCACCCCTCCAGCTAGGATGGAGTCCGTCACTCCTCAGCAGGCCAGGCTTGGTCCTGTAGCACCCCTCCAGCTAGGATGGAGTCCGTCACTCCTCAGCAGGCCAGGCTTGGTCCTGTAACACCCCTCCAGCTAGGATGGAGTCCATCACTCCTCAGCAGGCCAGGCTTGGTCCTGTAGCACCCCTCCAACTAGGATGGAGTCCATCACTCCTCAGCAGGCCAGGCTTGGTCCTGTAACACCCCTCCATCTAGGATGGAGTCCATCACTCCTCAGCAGGCCAGGCTTGGTCCTGTAGCACCCCTCCAACTAGGATGGAGTCCATCACTCCTCAGCAGGCCAGGCTTGGTCCTGTAACACCCCTCCAGGGTCCATCACTCCTCAGCAGGCCAGGCTTGGTCCTGTAGCTCCCCTCCAGCTAGGATGGAGTCCATCACTCCTCAGCAGGCCAGGCTTGGTCCTGTAGCACCCCTCCAGCTAGGATGGAGTCCATCACTCCTCAGCAGGCCAGGCTTGGTCCTGTAGCACCCCTCCAACTAGGATGGAGTCCGTCACTCCTCAGCAGGCCAGGCTTGGTCCTGTAGCACCCCTCCATCTAGGATGGAGTCCATCACTCCTCAGCAGGCCAGGCTTGGTCCTGTAGCACCCCTCCAGCTAGGATGGAGTCCATCACTCCTCAGCAGGCCAGGCTTGGTCCTGTAACACCCCTCCAGCTAGGATGGAGTCCATCACTCCTCAGCAGGCCAGGCTTGGTCCTGTAACACCCCTCCATCTAGGATGGAGTCCGTCACTCCTCAGCAGGCCAGGCTTGGTCCTGTAGCACCCCTCCAGCTAGGATGGAGTCCGTCACTCCTCAGCAGGCCAGGCTTGGTCCTGTAACACCCCTCCATCTAGGATGGAGTCCGTCACTCCTCAGCAGGCCAGGCTTGGTCCTGTAGCACCCCTCCAGCTAGGATGGAGTCCGTCACTCCTCAGCAGGCCAGGCTTGGTCCTGTAGCACCCCTCTAGCTAGGATGGAGTCCATCACTCCTCAACAGGCCAGGCTTGGTCCTGTAGCACCCCTCCAGCTAGGATGGAGTCCATCACTCCTCAGCAGGCCAGGCTTGGTCCTGTAGCACCCCTCCAGCTAGGATGGAGTCCGTCACTCCTCAGCAGGCCAGGCTTGGTCCTGTAGCACCCCTCCATCTAGGATGGAGTCCATCACTCCTCAGCAGGCCAGGTCCTGTAGCACCCCTCCAGCTAGGATGGAGTCCCATCACTCCTCAGCAGGCCAGGCTTGGTCCTGTAGCACCCCTCCATCTAGGATGGAGTCCATCACTCCTCAGCAGGCCAGGCTTGGTCCTGTTTGTGGGTGAGTCCCAGAAAGAGGGCCATTTATCTACAAATTCTATCTTTTGGGAGGCAGAAAACAGTTTCCAACCAGCAATTGAGTTGTGTGAGTCTGCTGTAGAGCTCATACTAACTGGGAGGGGCCAGAGACAATTACTGCTGTAGAGCTCACCACTCCCCCTAACTGGGAGGGGCCAGAGACAATTACTGCTGTAGAGCTCATCACTCCTCCCCCTAACTGGGAGGGGCCAGAGACAATTACTGCTGTAGAGCTCATCACACCCCCTAACTGGGAGGGGCCTGTCGATGCCGACACATCAGCAAGCAGCACAGAAGCATGGAGACAACTCACCATGGAGACAACTCACCATGGAGACAACTCACCATGGAGACAACTCACCATAAATGTCAAGTCACAAAGTCTTCCTCTGGTGCACTCCAACCAACCTCTTCTCATCCCTGTAGACAGATTACATGTCATTATGAGTCCATAGATAGAATAGCTGTGGTAGGAGAACACGGTCAATAGCTGTGGGTAGGGGGCTGGGACCACTAGACAATACATCTGGTAGGGGGCTGGGACCACTAGACAATACATCTGGTAGGGGGCTGGGACCACTCTGGTTTGGGCTTAGTCGGACTATCATTTGTTTATCAACAGGACAATGACCCAACACACATCCAGGCTGTGTAAGGGCTATTAGTTGACCTGGCCTCCACAATCCCCCGACCTCAACCCAATTGAGATGGTTTGGGATGAGTCGGACGGCAGAGTGAAGGAAAAGCAGCCAACAAGTGCTCAGCATATGTGGGAACTCCTTCAAGACTGTTGGAAAAGCATTCCAGGTGAAGCTGGTTGAGAGAATGCCAAAAGCGTGCAAAGCTGTCAAGGATAAGGGTGGCTATTTGAAAAATCTTAAATATAAAATAGATTTGGATTTGTTTAACACTTTTTTTGGTTACAACATGATTCCATGTGTTATTTCATAGTTTTGATGTCTTCACTATTATTCTACAATGTAAAACAGAATAAAGAAAAACTCTTGAATGAGTAGGTGTTCTAAAACTTTTGACTGGTACTGTATGTATGTATTTATATATCTCACAGACACACACACCACTCTAATGAAGGAAGAAATAACTTTAATTAGCATTTAACACATTTTTATATTCTCCCATTTTGAAATCCTTATTCATCATTGACCCATATACAGATCTCTTATAGTATTTTCTGTTGGTCACTAATTTTACTGTTTGTTAACCTGTTAATGAGGGTCAGTTAGTAGGCAGCAAAATTGACAAAAATGTGCATCCTAGCTGTAATCAATTGGTTGTAATCGTGGATATTTGTTGTGTCTTTTCAGTTTGTTGTGTTGAGTGTTATTCGCTTTACATAATTACTTATTCCTATTGACATGAAATGTGGTGTCATTAAAGAAGAGGTTGTGCTCTTTAAAACTAAGTTATTTGTTCTTGATCTGTCTGTTTGTTCGAAATTAGCTTCATCTTAAATTCTCAGTAATCTACAGCAGCATTCTAGAATTCTATTCACACATAAATGTGAAGCATCCGGTTGCGTTTCCTCTCACTACCAAATATGGTGATGAGAGGAAGCCCAGTAGCCGGAAGTGGGAGAAGATAGATCAAGATGGATTTCTCCCTACATTTTACAAATTTCCTCATTGATTAAACATTTGATCTCCATACAGTTCTGTTTCCAAAACTAGAATCTGTAACAAACAGTGGACTGCGTTTTGTAGACTTTACCCTATGCCAAAGTTGTAAAAAAATTGCATTGTTTAGGAGCGCCAGGGCGAATTGAATTATTGCACATGCTCACTTCACAACGTGGGCGTTACCTAACGGAAATATGCAAATATATGCTAGAACGCACCAATAGGATCTCACTAGCTCTTGCTTGGCTCTGCCCACATCCTTGCTTGTTCTGCCCACTATGATTAATTTGCTCCCATTGGAAACGACAGGCTCTGGTTTATCATGAGTTCGTTCCATAGATTAACTTTGCTCAATTACGAAAAGGACCGTTATTTTCATGATAATAAAGTGCATTGTCTAACTTACTACGTTATTCACAGAAGTACACCATCAACTGACAAGTCTAAGCATAGGCTAACTCAATTTGCTATCTAACTAACCAACAGTAACATGGGATCACAGCATGTAAATAAGAACGTCAAATCAACTATCCTCCATGTACCTCTACAAACGACACGTTTCCTAAAACGAATCAACAAACCCCGGCACCTGCCACTCAATACAATATACATTCTGTAAAACCATGCATGTTGGGTCGAACAATAGTCCAACACTACAAAACATACATCCAAGACAGGGACAAAATACTGACGGCCTTGGCGCCAAACTCCGGCCTCACTGCATGACGTGAAATACAGCAATGTGGTGTCTGAAACCAAACTCCGGCCTCGCTGCATGACCCGGAATACAGCAATGTGGTGTCTGAAACCAAACTCCGGCCTCGCTGCATGACCCGGAATACAGCAATGTGGTGTCTGAAACCAAACTCCGGCCTCGCTGCATGACCCGGAATACAGCAAACTCCGGCCTCGGCATGACCCGGAATACAGCAATGTGGTGTCTGAAACCAAACTCCGGCCTCGCTGCATGACCCGGAATACAGCAATGTGGTGTCTGAAACCAAACTCCGGCCTCGCTGCATGACCCGGAATACAGCAATGTGGTGTCTGAAACCAAACTCCGGCCTCGCTGCATGACCCGGAATACAGCAATGTGGTGTCTGAAACCAAACTCCGGCCTCGCTGCATGACCCGGAATACAGCAATGTGGTGTCTGAAACCAAACTCCGGCCTCGCTGCATGACCCGGAATACAGCAATGTGGTGTCTGAAACCAAACTCCGGCCTCGCTGCATGACCCGGAATACAGCAATGTGGTGTCTGAAACCAAACTCCGGCCTCGCTGCATGACCCGGAATACAGCAATGTGGTGTCTGAAACCAAACTCCGGCCTCGCTGCATGACCCGGAATACAGCAATGTGGTGTCTGAAACCAAACTCCGGCCTCGCTGCATGACCCGGAATACAGCAATGTGGTGTCTGAAACCAAACTCCGGCCTCGCTGCATGACCCGGAATACAGCAATGTGGTGTCTGAAACCAAACAAACACCGCCACCATTCTGGCTACCCGCGATGCCAACATATCACTTCATTTTTATTTATTTTTACTCCCAGCGCCATTTCTCAACGTCTAAATTAATTCAGACGTGAATCCATTAGAGTATCGATGTGACCGAGTACCACATTAATCATTTTAGTGCCATACGAGGGTGAAATCTGTGCATGAGAGAGGAGGAATGAAGCTAGCTAGCTAACTAGCAGGCCATATAGCCTGGCTGAACCATCCAGGACAAGCAGCCACGGCACACTAAGACCACACGACCTTACCTTGGATCCGCGGTCAATTCTGCAGCTTATTGAGACTCGTGATTGCTTTCACCAAATTCCTCACATATAAACAGCGCAGACTTTTAATTAAAACAGTATTTTTTTGTGTTGAGTATTTCCCAGAGTTACCTGCAACCTCTCTTCACTACGGAATAACAGCGCTATTATACCACCCTGTCCGCTGGGTCCTAGACTCCGCCGGTTGGGGCTTTATGGTCAACACTGTTCTTCGGTTTGAAATGTATTGAATCTAAATGTATGAATTGATATATACGGTCTCTGGTTGAAGCATTGGCCTGCCCTGCCCTACTGTACTGAACTAAACTGGTGATATTCTGTAAAATCTATTGAATTGCATATTTGACCTTTTTTTTAAATAACATACAACGCTTGGAATATACTGAGTATACACAACATTAGGAACATCTGCTCTTTCCATAACAGAGACTGACCAGGTGAATCCAGGTGAAAAACATGATACCTTATTGATGTCACTTGTTAAATCCACTTCAATCAGTGTAGATGAAGGGGAGGAGACAGGTTAAAGAAATATTTGTAAGCCTTGAGACATGGATTGTGTATGTGCGCCATTCAGAGGGTGAATGGGCAAGACAAAATATTTAAGTGCCCTTGAACAGGGTATGATAGTAGGTGCCAGGCGCCCAGTTTTGAGTATGTCAAGAACTGCAACGCTGCTGGGTTTTTCACACTCAACCGTTTCCCGTGTGTATCAAGAATGGTGCACGACCCAAAGGACATTCAGACAACTTGACACAACTGTGGGAAGCACTGGAGTCAACCAGTGGCGACCCATCATTCACTCATGGGGACACTAAGTCACTGCCAAATCTAAGGGTAGAGCTCGAAAATTCAAGCTCCTTGGGTACTGCCATAGAGTTACATTAGAAGTGCCCATCCAAGAAGGCTCAAGGTCATTGGCCACAGATAAAATGACATCAAATGACGTTATATCTACAGTATCTTTGATTGGACTGATCATGTCAACATCATACTTTCAAAATCTTAGCTAACAGTCATCATCATGAATCAAGTCGACAATCTACTGGCAAATCCTTTTTAATTCATGTCATATGAAGAGAAATAATGAAGAGAAATTATACATAAAACGTATCGGTGCTCATCGGCCATTGGACATATGTGGGAACTCCTTCAAGACTGTTGGAAAGCATTCCAGGTGACTACCTCATGAAGCTGGTTGAGTGTGCAAAGCTGTCATCAAGGCAAAGGGTGGCTACTTTGAAGAATGTAAAATATAAAATATATTTTGATTTGTTTAACACTTTTTTGGTTACTACATGATTCCATATGTGTTATTTCATAGTGTTGATGTCTTTACAATGTAGAAAATAATAAACATTTAAGAAAAACCCTTGAATGAGTAGGTGTGTCCAAACTTTTGACTGGTACTGTATATACAGTACCAGTCATAAATAAATAAATCTCTGACAGTGTCACCAGCAAAGCACCCCCACACCATCACACCTCCTCCTCCATGCTTCACGGTGGGAACCACACATGCGGAGATCATCCGTTCACCCACACTACGTCTCACAAAGACACGGCGGTTGGAACCAAAAATCTCAAACTTGGATATTGGTATCATCCTTGCCCTATTAATGGCATGCAGCTACAAACAGAATTTACTTTTCGTAGCAGGTTAGGAGAATTTATGCAGTAGGTTAGGATAATTAACGTAGCAGGTTAGGAGAATTAGATTTAGACCCCAATGGAATTCTAGAATGCTGCTGTAGATTACTGAGAATTTAAGATGAGCACAACCTCTTCTTTAATGACATCACATAGAGCACCACCTCTTCTTTAATGACATCACATAGAGCACCACCTCTTCTTTAATGACATCACATAGAGCACCACCTCTTCTTTAATGACACCACATAGAGCACCACCTCTTCTTTAATGACACCACATAGAGCACCACCTCTTCTTTAATGACACCACATAGAGCACCACCTCTTCTTTAATGACACCACATAGAGCACCACCTCTTCTTTAATGACATCACATAGAGCACCACCTCTTCTTTAATGACACCACATAGAGCACCACCTCTTCTTTAATGACACCACATAGAGCACCACCTCTTCTTTAATGACACCACATAGAGCACCACCTCTTCTTTAATGACACCACATAGAGCACCACCTCAACTACCATATATATCTGTTTACTATACCTGGTTATTGCCGTTGCCAGCCAACTACCATCAGAAAGCCTGTACTGTATAACAAGAAAATCTCCCACAATGACTCCACACTCAAATCTAAAATAAACACACCACAGAACATAAAATGGATTTTTTGACAAATATATTAGACAAGTTCCATTTGATTCTACAAAAGAAGCAGATACAAAAAGGAAGCATTTTTACAAAGTCCAATCATATCATTCCTTCAACAAATACAAATGTTACAGCATATTGTCCATCCCAAATGGCACCCTAGTCCCTTTATAGTGTACTACCCTGGTCTAAAGTAGTGCACTATAAAGGGAATAGGGTGGTATTTAGGACCCATTCATTTCATCACAGGGATGAGGTTCTGGTCCCAAAGAAAACATTACCACCTACATCTCCTCCTCTCTGCAATACATTCAAAATGCTTTCTAAGAACATCTATTAAATTCACCTGTTCCCAAAAACACGAACTCAAATATGTGGAATTCTGGGTGTAGTCTTGAAAGCTGATTGGTGCACATTCTGACTTTCAATAAAAATATTCACAACTTGAGAGCAGAAAACAAAAATAGAAAATAAAAACCAGAATCAAGACTTGACAAAAATAAAAAGCCACAGCCTTTCCCCCCCAACTCATTACGGTGGTGTAACCAAAGTGTCACCTGAATCATGTGGCATGGGGGTGTATTCATTAGTGCAAACTAATTTCTATTGGACAAATTCAGGTGGATCCAACCCCGGTTTGTCCTGTTTGCTTCCGTTTATTTCCTAGTGAATACACCTCGTACTCATTAATCAGATCAATGTCCAATCAGCTATTTACACCAGTATCACCCTGACAACGTGTCTGGAAACAACACTAAGGAAGTCTAGTTGGCTTGTTGCTCTACCAAACACTCTAATAAATACCTGAAGAGAAAACACATGAAACATATCAAACATTGTCACATGGCTGGACCAACTCCAGTTGTCATTTTAAAAAATTCACCCCCCCCCCCCCCCCTTCTAAAATGTACTACAATTACAGTGAGGCAAAAAAGAATTTGATCCCCTGCTGATTTTGTACGTTTGCCCATTGACAAAGAAATGATCAGTCTATAAGTTTATTTGAACAGTGAGAGACAGAATAACAACAAAAAGTTCCAGAATGAAAAGAAAGATTCAAATTCCAGAAAGTTCGCATGTCAAAAATGTTAGAAATTGATTTGCATTCTAATGAGGGAAATAAGTATTTGACCCCCTCTCAATCAGAAAGATTTCTGGCTCCCAGGTGTCTTTTATACAGGTAACGAGCTGAGATTAGAAGCACACTCTTAAAGGGAGTGCTCCTAATCTCAGTTTGTTACCTGTATAAAAGACACCTGTCCACAGAAGCAATCAATCAATCAGATTCCAAACTCTCCACCATGGCCAAGACCAAAGAGCTCTCCAAGGATGTCGGGGACAAGATTGTAGACCTACACAAGGCTGGAATGGGATACAAGACCATCGCCAAGCAGCTTGGTGAGAAGGTGACAACAGTTGGTGCGATTATTCGCAAATGGAAGAAACACAAAATAACTGTCAATCTCCCTCGGCCTGGGGCTCCATGCAAGATCTCACCTCGTGGAGTTGCAATGATCATGAGAACGGTGAGGAATCAGCCCAGAACTACACGGGAGGATCTTGTCAATGATCTCAAGGCTGCTGGGACCATATTCACCAAGCAAACAATTGGTAACGCACTACGCCGTGAAGGACTGAAATCCTGCAGTGCCCGCAAGGTCCCCCTGCTCAAGAAAGCACATATACCGGGCCGTCTGAAGTTTGCCAATGAACATCTGAATGATTTAGAGGAGAACTGGGTGAAAGTGTTGTGGTCAGATGAGACCAAAATGGAGCTCTTTGGCATCAACTCAACTCGCCGTGTTTGGAGGAGGAGGATTGCTATGACCCCAAGAACACCATCCCCACTGTCAAACATGAAGGTGGAAACATTATGCTTTGCGGGTGTTTTTCTGCTAAGGGGACAGGACAACTTCACCGCATCAAAGGGACAATGGACGGGGCCATGTGAGAACCTCCTTCCCTCAGCCAGGGCATTGAAAATGGGTCGTGGATGGGTATTCCAGCATGACAATGACCCAAAACACACGGCCAAGGCAACAAAGGAGTGGCTCAAGAAGAAGCACATTACGGTCCTGGAGTGGCCTAGCCAGTCTCCAGACCTTAATCCCATAGAAAATCGGTGGAGGGAGCTGAAGGTTCGAGTTGCCAAACGTCAGCCTCGAAACCTTAATGACTTGGAGAAGATCTGCAAAGAGGAGTGGAACAAAATCCCTCCTGAGATGTGTGCAAACCTGGTGGCCAACTACAAGAAACGTCTGACCTCTGTGATTGCCAACAATGGTTTTGCCACCAAGTACTAAGTCATGTTTTGCAGAGGGGTCAAATACTTATTTCCCTCATTAAAATGCAAATCAATTTATAACATTTTTGACATGCGTTTTTCTGGATTTTGTTGTTGTTATTCTGTCTCTCACTGTTCAAATAAACCTACCATTAAAATGATAGACTGATCATGTCTTTGTCAGTGGGCAAACGTACAAAATCAGCAGGGGATCAAATACTTGTTTCCCTCACTGTATGATCACCACCATAAATAACAATAACCATAGCAAGCCTGTGTTTATAAACGTGGATATCAAGTTTACAACTTCAGCATGCTTGGCACAGTTCATGTCACACAGGGATAATGGGCCAGAAGGTTGAGGGTTCGCTGACCACCATGGACGAGACTCTCCCTGCCTGTCTCATTACACTACGATCAGAGCTGGCTGCAGTTCGCTGACCACCATGGACGAGACTCTCCCTGCCTGTCTCATTACACTACGATCAGAGCCGGCTGCAGACAATGATCAGCTAGGTGGAAATCAGATTATCAAAATGTTGAAGTATATAAAATATATGTAACGAATTTTCCACCAACAGGTTTCTGTGCCAATGCACCACACAACCAATAAGCAACACATAACTGCATATCGATTACCGACTTCGGGCACTTATCATCATGGTTTGTCTCTTCAACACCACAAATCAAGCAGAGTTTGTAAATCTGGACAAACAGAAATACATCCGTACTCAGGCTACAAAGGGAAACCAGCCGCGAGCTGCCCAGTGACACAAGCCTACCACAACAGATAAATTACTTCTATGCTCGCTTTGAGGCAAGCAACACTGAAGCATGCATGAGAGCACCGGCCGTTCCGGACGACATGAGTGATCACGCGCGCCGTAGCCGATGTGAGTAAGACTTTTAAGCAGGTCAACATTCATAAGGCCGCAGGGCCAGACGGATTACCAGGACATGTACTCAGAGCATGCGCTGACCAACTGGCAAGTGTCTTCACTGACATTTTCAACCTGTCCCTGACTGAGTCTGTAATAACAACATGTTTCAAGCAGACCACCATAGTCCCTGTGCCAAAGAACACTAAGGTAACCTGCCTAAATGACTACCGACCCGTAGCACTCACGTCTGTAGCCATGAAGTGCTTTGAAAGGCTGGTCATGGCTCACATCAACATCATTATCCCAGAAACCCTAGACCCACTCCAAACACACCAAGACAGTCATGAAGAGGGCACGACAAAGCCTATTCCCCCTCAGGAGACTGAAAAGATTTGGCATGGGTCCTCAGATCCTCAACAAGTTATACAGCTGCACCATCAACAGCATCCTGACTGGTTGCATCACTGCCATACAAATTGTCAAAGACTCTTGCCACCCTAGTCATAGACTGTTCTCTCTGCTACCGCACGGCAAGCGGTACTGGAGCGCCAAGTCTAGGTCCAAAATGCTTCTTAACAGCTTCTACCCCCAAGCCATAAGACTCCTGAACAGCTAATCAAATGGCTACCCGGACTATTTGCACTGCTCCACTACCTATCACCTGACCTCTCCGCTACCTATCACCTGACCTCTCCACTACCTATCACCTGACCTCTCCACTACCTATCACCTGACCTCTCCGCTGCCTATCACCTGACCTCTCCACTACCTATCACCTGACCTCTCCACTGCCTATCACCTGACCTCTCCACTACCTATCACCTGACCTCTCCACTACCTATCACCTGACCTCTCCGCTGCCTATCACCTGACCTCTCCACTGCCTATCACCTGACCTCTCCACTGCCTATCACCTGACCTCTCCACTACCTATCACCTGACCTCTCCACTACCTATCACCTGACCTCTCCGCTGCCTATCACCTGACCTCTCCACTGCCTATCACCTGACCTCTCCGCTGCCTATCACCTGACCTCTCCACTGCCTATCACCTGACCTCTCCCTGCCTATCACCTGACCTCTCCACTGCCTATCACCTGACCTCTCCGCTGCCTATCACCTGACCTCTCCGCTGCCTATCACCTGACCTCTCCACTACCTATCACCTGACCTCTCCACTGCCTATCACCTGACCTCTCCGCTGCCTATCACCTGACCTCTCCACTGCCTATCACCTGACCTCTCCGCTGCCTATCACCTGACCTCTCCACTACCTATCACCTGACCTCTCCGCTGCCTATCACCTGACCTCTCCGCTGCCTATCACCTGACCTCTCCACTACCTATCACCTGACCTCTCCACTACCTATCACCTGACCTCTCCACTACCTATCACCTGACCTCTCCACTTCCTATCACCTGACCTCTCCGCTGCCTATCACCTGACCTCTCCACTGCCTATCACCTGACCTCTCCGCTGCCTACTCTCCGCCTGGCCTCTCCACTACCTATCACCTGACCTCTCCGCTGCCTATCACCTGACCTCTCCGCTGCCTATCACCTGACCTCTCCGCTGCCTATCACCTGACCTCTCCGCTGCCTATCACCTGACCTCTCCGCTGCCTATCACCTGACCTCTCCACTACCTATCACCTGACCTCTCCACTACCTATCACCTGACCTCTCCGCTGCCTATCACCTGACCTCTCCACTGCCTATCACCTGACCTCTCCACTACCTATCACCTGACCTCTCCGCTGCCTATCACCTGACCTCTCCACTGCTGACCTCTCCGCTGCCTATCAGCTATTCCTCTATGTTCTTGTGGAGTTATATAGAAAATTGGACTGGTAGACTATATTATCACGATGAATGGTGGATAGAGGACAGGACAGATAGACTGGTAGACTATATTATCACTATGAATGGTGGATAGAGGGCAGGGTAGACAGTTAGACTGGTAGACTATATTATCACTATGAATGGTGGATAGAGGACAGGATAGACTGGTAGACTATATTGACCTGTGGTAGAGTAGAAGTTAGTGAGCAGAAAAGTTTAGTTCATAAGGGAAGTACCAAAACAACTTGATAGGGGAGGAGCCTGTGGCTATATGGAAGACCAGCCACCTCACCCCAGTAAACTGTTCCCTAGAAGACCTACACAGCTTGATGATATAACCTACACAGCTTGATGATGAGCCAGCTGTGTAGTGCTAGGGCAAAATACAAAATCTACACCCCTTGGGGTCCCCAGGACCAAGTTTAATGTGCACCGCTTGGGGTCCCCAGGACCAAGTTTAATGTGCACCGTTTGGGGTCCCCAGGACCAAGTTTAATGTGCACCGTTTGGGGTCCCCAGGACCAAGTTTAATGTGCACCGCTTGGGGTCCCCAGGACCAAGTTTAATGTGCACCGCTTGGGGTCCCCAGGACCAAGTTTAATGTGCACCGCTTGGGGTCCCCAGGACCAAGTTTAATGTGCGCCGCTTGGGGTCCCCAGGACCAAGTTTAATGTGCGCCGCTTGGGGTCCCCAGGACCAAGTTTAATGTGCACCGCTTGGGGTCCCCAGGACCAAGTTTAATGTGCACCGCTTGGGGTCCCCAGGACCAAGTTTAATGTGCACCGCTTGGGGTCCCCAGGACCAAGTTTAATGTGCACCGCTTGGGGTCCCCAGGACCAAGTTTAATGTGCACCGCTTGGGATCCCCAGGACCAAGTTTAATGTGCACCGCTTGGGGTCCCCAGGACCAAGTTTAATGTGCACCGCTTGGGATCCCCAGGACCAAGTTTAATGTGCACCGCTTGGGGTCCCCAGGACCAAGTTTAATGTGCACCGCTTGGGGTCCCCAGGACCAAGTTTAATGTGCACCGCTTGGGGTCCCCAGGACCAAGTTTAATGTGCACCGCTTGGGGTCCCCAGGACCAAGTTTACTGTGCACCCCAAGTTTGGAAAATGTTGATTTAATGTGTACAGTGATTTTGAATGAGTAGCTGATCACTAAGTTGATTAACCTGTCCTCTCTGCTACCTACCATCACTATGCTGATTAACCTGTCCTCTCTAATAATAATAATAATAATAATAATAATAATATGCCATTTAGCAGACGCTTTTATCCAAAACTCTCTGCTACCTACCATCACTATGCTGATTAACCTGTCCTCTCTGCTACCTACCATCACTATGCTGATTAACCTGTCATCTCTGCTACCTACCATCACTATGCTGATTAACCTGTCCTCTCTGCTACCTACCATCACTATGCTGATTAACCTGTCCTCTCTTCTACCTACCATCACTATGCTGATTAACCTGTCCTCTCTGCTACCTACCATCACTATGCTGATTAACCTGTCCTCTCTGCTACCTACCATCACTATGCTGATTAACCTGTCCTCTCTGCTACCTACTGGTATATCCAGTGTTAATACTACCAATAAAAAATGTAATCATACAAAAGTGTATCAGTGGTGTAGTTTTTGATTATCATGCAGTGATTCAATTACAAGCCCATCTGCATGTCAGCGAAGTTGAAGAAGTTGTCCACGTCTCGAGAGGAAGTATTTCTGTTGTCTGAAACAAACACCTGCAGAGAACAGGACAGAAAACAAGAGTTCCTTCACATACAGGACAGAAAACAAGAGTTCCTTCACATACAGGTGCTATTTTATTAGCTAGCACAGTTCTGACTAAAACTTCCAATACAATTGATTCAATCTTGAGATGTTTTTGTCTGGAGAGGTCAGGTAATGCTGTTACCTTGGTTCCACTGAACATGTCCCTGGACATGGCCTTACAGGCCTCCACTACCCCGTCCCCATTCAACTCCAGAGCTGTCACTGGCCCTGTGGAAGAGAAGAGATGCATTTCAGAAATGCTTGCCTAATCATTATAAGCACTAAATAAACTCATTCATTAACACAATTCTTTCCTTCAGCTATGATGATTTTTAGTCCCCCCCTTTCTCTTGGTTCAAAGGTCATCATACATCACAGAGAACCAGAAACAGCAAACTGATGTTACACCTTCATTACTATTGAATTATTAACCCAGATGATGCTCCACCCTCCTTACTATTGAATTATTAACCCAGATGATGTTCCACCCTCCTTACTATTGAATTATTCACCCAGATGATGTTCCACCCTCCTTACTATTGAATTATTCACCCAGATGATGTTCCACCCTCCTTACTATTGAATTATTCACCCAGATGATGTTCCACCCTCCTTACTATTGAATTATTAACCCAGATGATGTTCCACCCTCCTTACTATTGAATTATTAACCCAGATGATGTTCCACCTTCCTTACTATTGAATGATTAACCCAGATGATGTTCCACCTTCCTTACTATTGAATTATTAACCCAGATGATGTTCCACCTTCCTTACTATTGAATTATTAACCCAGATGATGTTCCACCCTCCTTACTATTGAATTATTAACCCAGATGATGTTCCACCTTCCTAACTATTGAATTATTAACCCAGATGATGTTCCACCTTCCTTACTATTGAATGATTAACCCAGATGATGTTCCACCTTCCTTACTATTGAATTATTAACCCAGATGATGTTCCACCTTCCTTACTATTGAATTATTAACCCAGATGATGTTCCACCCTCCTTACTATTGAATTATTAACCCAGATGATGTTCCACCTTCCTTACTATTGAATTATTAACCCAGATGATGTTCCACCCTCCTTACTATTGAATTATTAACCCAGATGATGTTCCACCTTCCTTACTATTGAATTATTTACCCAGATGATGTTCCACCCTCCTTACTATTGAATTATTAACCCAGATGATGTTCCACCTTCCTTACTATTGAATTATTAACCCAGATGATGTTCCACCTTCCTTACTATTGAATTATTAACCCAGATGATGTTCCACCTTCCTTACTATTGAATTATTAACCCAGATGATGTTCCCACCTTCCTTACTATTGAATTATTAACCCAGATGATGTTCCACCTTCCTTACTATTGAATTATTAACCCAGATGATGTTCCACCTTCCTTACTATTGATTATTAACCCAGATGATGTTCCACCCTCCTTACTATTGAATTATTAACCCAGATGATGTTCCACCTTCCTTACTATTGAATTATTAACCCAGATCAGATGATGTTCCACCTTCCTAACTATTGAATTATTAACCCAGATGATGTTCCACCCTCCTTACTATTGAATTATTAACCCAGATGATGTTCCACCTTCCTTACTATTGAATTATTAACCCAGATGATGTTCCACCTCCTTACTATTGAATTATTAACCCAGATGATGTTCCACCTTCCTTACTATTGAATTATTAACCCAGATGATGTTCCACCCTCCTTACTATTGAATTATTAACCCAGATGATGTTCCACCTTCCTTACTATTGAATTATTAACCCAGATGATGTTCCACCCTCCTTACTATTGAATTATTAACCCAGATGATGTTCCACCCTCCTACTATTGAATTATTAACCCAGATGATGTTCCACCTTCCTTACTATTGAATTATTAACCCAGATGATGTTTCCACCCTCCTTACTATTGAATTATTAACCCAGATGATGTTCCACCTTCCTTACTATTGAATTATTAACCCAGATGATGTTCCACCTTCATTACTATTGAATTATTAACCCAGATGATGTTCCACCTTCCTTACTATTGAATTATTAACCCAGATGATGTTCCACCTTCATTACTATTGAATGATTAACCCAGATGATGTTCCACCCTCCTTACTATTGAATTATTAACCCAGATGATGTTCCACCTTCCTTACTATTGAATTATTAACCCAGATGATGTTCCACCTTCATTACTATTGAATTATTAACCCAGATGATGTTCCACCCTCCTTACTATTGAATTATTAACCCAGATGATGTTCCACCTTCCTTACTATTGAATTATTAACCCAGATGATGTTCCACCTTCCTTACTATTGAATTATTAACCCAGATGATGTTCCACCTTCCTTACTATTGAATTATTAACCCAGATGATGTTCCACCCTCCTTACTATTGAATTATTAACCCAGATGATGTTCCACCTTCCTTACTATTGAATTATTAACCCAGATGATGTTCCACCCTCCTTACTATTGAATTATTAACCCAGATGATGTTCCACCTTCATTACTATTGAATTATTAACCCAGATGATGTTCCACCCTCCTTACTATTGAATTATTAACCCAGATGATGTTCCACCCTCCTTACTATTGAATTATTAACCCAGATGATGTTCCACCTTCCTTACTATTGAATTATTAACCCAGATGATGTTCCACCTTCCTTACTATTTAATTATTCACCCAGATGATGTTCCACCCTCCTTACTATTGAATTATTAACCCAGATGATGTTCCACCTTCCTTACTATTGAATTATTAACCCAGATGATGTTCCACCTTCCTTACTATTGAATTATTAACCCAAATGATGTTCCACCTTCCTTACTATTGAATTATTAACCCAGATGATGTTCCACCTTCCTAACTATTGAATTATTAACCCAAATGATGTTCCACCTTCCTTACTATTTAATTATTCACCCAAATGATGTTCCACCTTCCTTACTATTGAATTATTAACCCAAATGATGTTCCACCCTCCTTACTATTTAATTATTAACCCAGATGATGCTCCACCCTCCTTACTATTGAATTATTAACCCAGATGATGTTCCACCCTCCTTACTATTTAATTATTAACCCAGATGATGCTCCACCCTCCTTACTATTTAATTATTCACCCAGATGATGTTCCACCTTCCTTACTATTGAATTATTAACCCAGATGATGTTCCACCTTCCTTACTATTTAATTATTCACCCAGATGATGTTCCACCTTCCTTACTATTGAATTATTAACCCAGATGATGTTCCACCTTCCTTACTATTTAATTATTAACCCAGATGATGTTCCACCTTCCTAACTATTGAATTATTAACCCAGATGATGTTCCACCTTCCTAACTATTGAATTATTAACCCAGATGATGTTCCACCCTCCTTACTATTGAATTATTAACCCAGATGATGTTCCACCTTCCTTACTATTGAATTATTAACCCAGATGATGTTCCACCTTCATTACTATTGAATTATTAACCCAGATGATGTTCCACCTTCATTACTATTGAATGATTAACCCAGATGATGTTCCACCTTCCTTACTATTGAATTATTAACCCAGATGATGTTCCACCTTCCTTACTATTGAATTATTAACCCAGATGATGTTCCACCTTCCTTACTATTGAATTATTAACCCAGATGATGTTCCACCTTCATTACTATTGAATTATTAACCCAGATGATGTTCCACCTTCCTTACTATTGAATTATTAACCCAGATGATGTTCCACCTTCATTACTATTGAATTATTAACCCAGATGATGTTCCACCTTCATTACTATTGAATGATTAACCCAGATGATGTTCCACCTTCCTTACTATTGAATTATTAACCCAGATGATGTTCCACCCTCCTTACTATTGAATTATTAACCCAGATGATGTTCCACCTTCCTTACTATTGAATTATTAACCCAGATGATGTTCCACCTTCCTTACTATTGAATTATTTACCCAGATGATGTTCCACCCTCCTTACTATTGAATTATTAACCCAGATGATGTTCCACCTTCCTTACTATTGAATTATTAACCCAGATGATGTTCCACCTTCCTTACTATTGAATTATTTACCCAGATGATGTTCCACCCTCCTTACTATTGAATTATTAACCCAGATGATGTTCCACCTTCCTAACTATTGAATTATTAACCCAGATGATGTTCCACCTTCCTAACTATTGAATTATTAACCCAGATGATGTTCCACCCTCCTTACTATTTAATTATTAACCCAGATGATGTTCCACCTTCCTAACTATTGAATTATTAACCCAGATGATGTTCCACCCTCCTTACTATTTAATTATTAACCCAGATGATGTTCCACCCTCCTTACTATTGAATTATTAACCCAGATGATGTTCCACCTTCCTAACTATTGAATTATTAACCCAGATGATGTTCCACCTTCCTTACTATTGAATTATTAACCCAGATGATGTTCCACCTTCCTTACTATTGAATTATTAACCCAGATGATGTTCCACCCTCCTTACTATTGAATTATTAACCCAGATGATGTTCCACCTTCCTTACTATTGAATTATTAACCCAGATGATGTTCCACCTTCCTTACTATTGAATTATTAACCCAGATGATGTTCCACCTTCCTTACTATTGAATTATTAACCCAGATGATGTTCCACCCTCCTTACTATTTAATTATTCACCCAGATGATGTTCCACCTTCCTAACTATTGAATTATTAACCCAGATGATGTTCCACCTTCCTAACTATTGAATTATTAACCCAGATGATGTTCCACCCTCCTTACTATTTAATTATTAACCCAGATGATGTTCCACCTTCCTAACTATTGAATTATTAACCCAGATGATGTTCCACCCTCCTTACTATTTAATTATTAACCCAGATGATGTTCCACCCTCCTTACTATTGAATTATTAACCCAGATGATGTTCCACCTTCCTTACTATTGAATTATTAACCCAGATGATGTTCCACCTTCCTTACTATTGAATTATTAACCCAGATGATGTTCCACCTTCCTAACTATTGAATTATTAACCCAGATGATGTTCCACCTTCCTTACTATTGAATTATTAACCCAGATGATGTTCCACCTTCCTTACTATTTAATTATTAACCCAGATGATGTTCCACCTTCCTTACTATTGAATTATTAACCCAGATGATGTTCCACCTTCCTTACTATTTAATTATTAACCCAGATGATGTTCCACCTTCCTTACTATTGAATTATTAACCCAGATGATGTTCCACCCTCCTTACTATTGAATTATTAACCCAGATGATGTTCCACCCTCCTTACTATTGAATTATTAACCCAGATGATGTTCCACCCTCCTTACTATTGAATTATTAACCCAGATGATGTTCCACCCTCCTTACTATTGAATTATTAACCCAGATGATGTTCCACCCTCCTTACTATTGAATTATTAACCCAGATTATAATAGGAAGATTGGATGCGTTCCAAATGACCCCCTATTCCCTATATAGTGCACTACTTTCTGGCTCTGGTAAGTATAGGGAATAGGGTGGCATTTGGGACGTGTGCTTACCCTTGGTGATCCACTCCTGGAGTCCCTCTGCATTGTTCTGGAACACTCTGGTGATGTCCTCGGGGCGCATGGACACTTCCTTCGTCTGGACCAACACGAACCCTTTCCCCAAGGCCTGGAGTTAATACAGACACAGGAAGCAATGACACCATTACACCCTTTCCCAGAGGCCTGGAGTTAATACAGACACAGGAAGCAATGACACCATTACACCCTTTCCCCAAGGCCTGGAGTTAATACAGACACAGGAAGCAATGACACCATTACACCCTTTCCCCAAGGCCTGGAGTTAATACGGACACAGGAAGCAGTGACACCATTACACCCTTTCCCAGAGGCCTGGAGTTAATACAGACACAGGAAGCAGTGACACCATTACACCCTTTCCCAGAGGCCTGGAGTTAATACAGACACAGGAAGCAATGACACCATTAAACCCTTTCCCAGAGGCCTGGAGTTAATACAGACACAGGAAGCAATGACACCATTACACCCTTTCCCCAAGGCCTGGAGTTAATACAGACACAGGAAGCAATGACACCATTACACCCTTTCCCCAAGGCCTGGAGTTAATACAGACAGACAGGAAGCAATGACACCATTACACCCTTTCCCAGAGGCCTGGAGTTAATACAGACACAGGAAGCAATGACACCATTACACCCTTTCCCCAAGGCCTGGAGTTAATACAGACACAGGAAGCAATGACACCATTACCCCCTTTCCCAGAGGCCTGGAGTTAATACAGACACAGGAAGCAATGACACCATTACACCCTTTCCCAGAGGCCTGGAGTTAATACGGACACAGGAAGCAATGACACCATTACACCCTTTCCCCAAGGCCTGGAGTTAATACAGACACAGGAAGCAATGACACCATTACACCCTTTCCCAGAGGCCTGGAGTTAATACAGACACAGGAAGCAATGACACCATTACACCCTTTCCCAGAGGCCTGGAGTTAATACAGACACAGGAAGCAATGACACCATTACACCCTTTCCCCAAGGCCTGGAGTTAATACAGACAGACAGGAAGCAATGACACCATTACACCCTTTCCCAGAGGCCTGGAGTTAATACAGACACAGGAAGCAATGACACCATTACACCCTTTCCCCAAGGCCTGGAGTTAATACAGACACAGGAAGCAATGACACCATTACACCCTTTCCCCAAGGCCTGGAGTTAATACAGACACAGGAAGCAATGACACCATTACACCCTTTCCCAGAGGCCTGGAGTTAATACAGACACAGGAAGCAATGACACCATTAAACCCTTTCCCCAAGGCCTGGAGTTAATACGGACACAGGAAGCAATGACACCATTACACCCTTTCCCAGAGGCCTGGAGTTAATACAGACACAGGAAGCAATGACACCATTACACCCTTTCCCCAAGGCCTGGAGTTAATACAGACAGACAGGAAGCAATGACACCATTACACCCTTTCCCAGAGGCCTGGAGTTAATACAGACAGACAGGAAGCAATGACACCATTAATACAAATCCATCATTAACTAACCAAATCTGGATAGGAAGCTAATCTTACTGTTGACTGCACACTAGGGTTGACTTGTGGTAAATTCCATTTAAATTCTGTCAGTCCAGGAAGGAACTAAACTTGGAATTTCAGTTTAGCCTACTTCCTGAAGATACTGAATTGAAATGGAATTGACCATTAACCTACACTACATAACAACACTACCTCACAGGACAGTGAGAAATCAAATCAATTTATAACATTTTTGACATGCGTTTTTCTGGATTTTTATTTTTGTTATTGTTATTCTGTCTCTCACTGTTCAAATAAACATACCATTAAAATTATAGACTGGTCATGTCTTTGTAAGTGGGCAAATGTACAAAATCAGTAGGGGATCAAATACTTTTTTCCCCTCACTGTACATCAGCAAACTGATAGTTCTGGTGTTGTCTCTAATAATAATAATAATTCAACAATATCTCTCTGGTTCAATATTGCTCACTCAAGGAGTGTCATTGATCACATGGCCAGAAACCCCATATGACCGTAACAACTTGAATTGTTCTGCATTTCTAAATGCCTGTCTGGGTGGAGGAGGAAGGAAGTCAACACCATGACACATTGTGGCCAAAGGACAAAAATATAACTATTGCAGCAAGCGATTGAAACCTAACAAGCAAATGAGACCTAAGTGTGGGTTTGTTCCATGTCACTTCACAACTTTTTTCTAATGATGATGAGAGGAATCCAAAGAAATGGTCAAAAGCCCCCCCACAGACACCTTTAAAAAAAGATGATGCAACCGGTCAGGACGCTCTCGATGGTGCAGCGGCAGTATTTGGAGAGGACCCGGGGCGGCATGCTACATTTCTTCAGGCTCCTTAGGAAGTAGAGACGCTGTTGCGCCCTTTTGACAAGAGTGGTGGTGTTGTTGGTCCATGTCAAGTCCTCCGTGATGTGGAAACCGAGGAACTTAAAACTCGTGACTCTCTCTACTGCAGTCCCGTTGATGTGGATCGCGGCATGCTCCCACCTCTGCTTCCTGAAGTCAACAATCAACTCCTTGGTTTTGTTGATGTTGAGGGAGAGGTTGTCGTCATGACACCACAATGCCAGTTCAGTTACCTCCTCCCTATAGGCTGACTTGTCGTTGTTGGCTATCAGGACTACAACTGTTGTGTCATCAGCAAACTTGATGTAGTTGGTGTCGTGCAAAGCCACGCAGTCGTGGGCGAACAGGGAGCACAGCAGAGGACTGAGGACACACCCCTGGGGGGCCCCTGAGTTAAGAGTCAGTGTGGAGGAGATGTTGTTGCCAATCCTCACAGCCTGTGGTCTGCCCGTCAGGAAGTCCAGGATCCAGTTGCAGAGAGTTCCATGTGTTGGGGTGGGATTGGCGTGGGGTGTGGGTCCATGTGTTATTTTGGTAACTTGAGAGGTAGAGTCTGCATCCTTCCGCCCCCTCTCTGACCTCTGATAGTTATGCACCTAGGCCATGTAAATTAGCTGTGCACGTGTTTTAGGCATGCTGCCGAGACACAGAGTCGCATCCCTGCGGCTTGCTTATCGAACATCACTGTGCTGCTGGCGTTGCTGCCGGACTCTTTGAGTTGACACTGAACTCGATGCTGCGTTCGGCTTTGCTATTTGCCATTGAGCTGAAGACTGAAAGTGACTGACAGTGAATGAACCCTACTCCTCCTTAATATTAGGGGGTGCCCACGAGGTATCTCTAAAGTGTGCACATTCATTTTATAATATTTCAACAGTACCAGAACTGCTCCGGGTGACTCATTGTTGAATGTTATGTATGTACTGTATCCCTGTCCTGTATCCCTTTAATGTACAGTTGAAGTCGGAAGTTTACATACACTTTGGCTGGAGTCATTAAAACTCGTTTTTCAACCACTACACACATTTCTTGTTAACAAACTATAGTTTTGGCAAGTCGGTTAGGACATCTACTTTGTGCATGACACAAGTCATTTTTCCAACAATTGTTTACAGACAGAGAATTATTTCTTTCAGCTTTTATTTCTTTCATCACATTCCCAGTGGGTCAGACGTTTACATACACTCAATTAGTATTTGGTAGCATTGCCTTTAAATTGTTTAACTTGGGTCAAACATTTCAGGTAGCCTTCCACAATAAGTTGGGTTGAATTTTGGCCCATTCCTCCTGACAGAGCTGGTGTAACTGAGTCAGGTTTGTAGGCCTCCTTGCTCGCACACGCTTTTTCAGTTCTGCCCACAGATGTTCTATAGGATTGAGGTCAGGGCTTTGTGATGGCCACTCCAATACCTTGACTTTGTTGTCCTTAAGCCATTTTGCCACAACTTTGGAAGTATGATTGGGGTCATTGTCCATTTGGAAGACCCATTTGCGACCAAGCTTTAACTTCCTGACTGATTTCTTGAGATGTTGCTTCAATATATCCACATAATTTTCCTTCCTCATGATGCCATCTATTTTGTGAAGTGCACCAGTCCCTCCTGCAGCAAAGCACCCCCACAGCATGATGCTGCCACCCCCGTGCTTCACGGTTGGGATGGTGTTCTTTGGCTTGCAAGCGACCCCCTTTTTCCTCCAAACATAACGATGGTCATTATGGCCAAACAGTTCTATTTTTGTTTCATCAGACCAGAAGAAATTTCTCCAAAAAGTACGATCTTTGTCCCCATGTGCAGTTGCAAACCACAGTCTGGCTTTTTAATGGCGGTTTTGGAGCAGTGGCTTCTTCCTTGCTGAGAGGCCTTTCAGGTTATGTCGATATAGGACTCGTTTTACTGTGGATATAGATACTTTTGTACCTGTTTCCTCCAGCATCTTCACAAGGTCCTTTGCTGTTGTTCTGGGATTGATTTGTACCTTTCGCACCAAAGTACGTTCATCTCTAGGAGACAGAACGCCTCTCCTTCCTGAGTGGTATGACGGCTGCGTGGTCCCATGGTGTTTATACTTGCGTAATATTGTTTGTACAGATGAACGTGGTACCATCAGGCGTTTGGAAATTGCTCCCAAGGATGAACCAGACTTGTGGAGGTCTACACATTTTTTCTGAGGTCTTGGCTGATTTCTTTTGATTTTCCCCATGATGTCAAGCAAAGAAGCACTGAGTTTGAAGGTAGGCCTTGAAATACATCCACAGGTACACCTCCAATTGACTCAAATGATGTCAATTAGCCTATCAGAAGCTTCTAAAGCCATGACATCATTTTCTGGAATTTTCCAAGCTGTTTAAAGGCACAGTCAACTTAGTGTATGTAAACTTCTGATCCACTGGAATTGTGATACAGTGAATTATAAATGAAATAATCTGTTTGTAAACAATTGTTGGAAAAATTACTTGTGTCATGCACAAAGTAGATGTCCTAACCGACTTGCCAAAACTATAGTTTGTTAACAAGATATTTGTGGAGTGGTTGAAAGACGAGTTTTAATGACTCCAACCTAAGTGTATGTAAACTTCCGACTTCAACTGTAGATATTCCATTAAAAATCAGCCGTTTCCAGCTACAATAGCCATTTACAACATTAACATGTCTACACTGTATTTCTGATCCATTTGATGTTATTGTAATGGACATTTTTTTTTGATTTTCTTTCAAAAACAAGGACATTTCTAAGTGACCCCAAACTTTTGAACTGTAGTGTATGTACTGTATCCCTGTACTGTATCCCTGTATTGTATCCCTGTACTGTATCCCTGTACTGTATGTACTGTATCCCTGTACTGTATGCCTGTACTGTATGTACTGTATCCCTGTACTGTATGTACTGTATCCCTGTACTGTATCCCTGTACTGTATCCCTGTCATCCCTGTACTGTATGTACTGTATCCCTGTACTGTATGTACTGTATCCCTGTACTGTATCCCTGTACTGTATCCCTGTACTGTATGTACTGTATCCCTGTACTGTAGCCCTGTACTGTATGTACTGTATCCCTGTACTGTATCCCTGTACTGTATGTACTGTATCCCTGTACTGTATCCCTGTACTGTATCCCTGTGCTGTATGTACTGTATCCCTGTACTGTATCCCTGTACTGTATGTACTGTATCCCTGTACTGTATCCCTGTACTGTATGTACTGTATCCCTGTACTGTATCCCTGTACTGTATGTACTGTATCCCTGTACTGTATGTACTGTGTCCCTGTACTGTATGTACTGTATCCCTGTACTGTATCCCTGTACTGTATCCCTGTACTGTATGTACTGTACTGTATGTACTGTATCCCTGTACTGTATCCCTGTACTGTATGTACTGTATCCCTGTACTGTATCCCTGTGCTGTATGTACTGTATCCCTGTACTGTATGTACTGTATCCCTGTACTGTATCCCTGTACTGTATGTACTGTATCCCTGTACTGTATGTACTGTATCCCTGTACTGTATCCCTGTACTGTATCCCTGTACTGTATGTACTGTGTCCCTGTACTGTATGTACTGTATCCCTGTACTGTATCCCTGTACTGTATCCCTGTACTGTATGTACTGTATCCCTGTACTGTATCCCTGTACTGTATGTACTGTATCCCTGTACTGTATCCCTGTACTGTATGTACTGTATCCCTGTACTGTATCCCTGTACTGTATGTACTGTATCCCTGTACTGTATGTACTGTATCCCTGTACTGTATCCCTGTACTGTATGTACTGTATCCCTGTACTGTATGTACTGTATCCCTGTACTGTATGTCTTATCCCCTGTACTGTATCCCCTGTACTTATTGTTATCCCTGTACTGTATGTACTGTATCCCTGTACTGTATGTACTGTATCCCTGTACTGTATCCCTGTACTGTATGTACTGTATCCCTGTACTGTATCCCTGTACTGTATGTACTGTATCCCTGTACTGTATCCCTGTACTGTATGTACTGTATCCCTGTACTGTATCCCTGTACTGTATGTACTGTATCCCTGTACTGTATGTACTGTATCCCTGTACTGTATCCCTGTACTGTATGTACTGTATCCCTGTACTGTATGTACTGTATCCCTGTACTGTATGTACTGTATCCCTGTACTGTATGTACTGTATCCCTGTACTGTATGTACTGTATCCCTGTACTGTATCCCTGTACTGTATGTACTGTATCCCTGTACTGTATGTACTGTATCCCTGTACTGTATGTACTGTATCCATGTACTGTATGTACTGTATCCCCTTATGTTTGGATGTCCATATTCTAACTCTGATTCACTAAAGAATATTCAAACGACTTTGTTGTCTGCTGAGTTGAGGAACGCACAGACCTTATTCGAACATCTTTAGACACTTCATTAATATAGTTGAAGGGTGACATGGGTGGCTTTTGACCATTCCTTTGGATTCCTCATGTTAGAAAAACGTTTGGTCCAAATCGGATGTTAGGTACTATATTTATTGAATATGATATGAATCGTAGAAATTAAAATGGCTAATTTGGGTGCAATCAATTAGCTTAATTTCTCAGAGATCAAATTATATTTCAACAAAACACTGTTTCTCACAGAAATGATTTCAGAACAGTTTTAGATGGTGGGGGGGAATGCTCTTCCCTGTGCTTTTAGGGGTGGAACGACCCTGTCCTAACTTCCTCCCCTCCCCTCTACCTCCACCTCACCTCATCAATGAGTTTCCGGGCGTTAGCAGTGGTGTAGTCCCCAGCGAAGAACAGAAACAGACAGGACTCGTCACTGTCCTTGCGTCTGCCTCCTTTGGTCATGGGCACGATGCTGCGGGATGCCTCAGCTGAGACACGGACTGATTTAAACTCTGACTCCGGATCAGGGGCTGGGACATGGTCCAGCACCACAGTGTCCTCCGGCAGCAGGCTCCAGTTGGTCTCCCCTGAGACAGGCGTGAAGTCATGGACGTTGCTCCAGTTGTTGTTGAAGATGCTGAGGCCTGCGTCCTTGAAGTGGAAGGCCAGCTCGGGGTAGTAGTACTGGAAGCAGCCGAACTTCATCCCCGTGGACGCCTCGATGATGGGCTGGGTGGCGCAACACAGGAACACCTCCATCTTCTTACAGTCCCTGGTCCTGAACTGCTGGCAGGCCACCACACACCTGATATCCTTACAGTCCCTGAAGAACACACTGCCCTTCACTGGCCCCATAACGATGCAGCAGTTGGTGCAGTCGTCGATGGTGATGGTGGCGGAGTGGTCAAACACGAAGATGTTGCAGTTCTCACAGTCCTGGATGACAAACTGCTGTCCGTTCAGCTTGCCTGGCAGACGGCCCACCGTGGCATCCTTCAGCCCTGTTAGCATGAAGTCCTTAGGGTCAACCTGCAGGGGGACAAGAGGACAAGTCAAAGGGGGGGGGGTGTAACACTTTAGGTACCAAAGGTTGAGAAACTTGGTTCTAGACTAGTGCATAAATATGGCAACTACATACTAAGAATTGTGGTATTACAACACAAAAATATAAAAGTGTATTCATACAATTACTCATTTTAGTTATTGCTGCTGCTATTACTGATATAATCTGGTGTAAACTATTCAATCTAATCTAGACTAGGTCAAATCTAGCTCAAATCTAATCTATAATAATAATAATAATAATAATAATAATAATAATAATATGCCATTTAGCAGACACTTTTATCCAAAGTGACTTACAGTCATGTGTGCATACATTTTTACGTATGGGTGGTCCCGGGGATCAAACCCACTACCCTGGCGTTACAAGCCCCGTGCTCTACCAATTGAGCTACAGAGGACCACTAGCTAAATAGATAGCCTGCAGCCATTGTTTATGAGGGGAAATTCCACGGTAACGGAATTGTGCTGTGACTCATATTTTTCACATTAACATTTACAGTAACGTATAGCTGTTTATTATTTTTCTATATTTTCGTATAAAGACAAAAATTAGAGGTTCTGTGTCCTCATCATAACACAACATCATCCTCTCCTGTTAAAGTAGAGGATCTGTCCTCCCGAGTGGCGCAGTGGTCTCAGGCACTGCATCGCAGTTCTAGCTGTGCCACTAGAGATCCTGGTTCGAATCCAGGCTCTGTCGTAGCCGGGCCGCGACCGGGAGACCCATGGGGCGGCGCACAATTGACCCAGCGTCGTCCAGGGTAGGGGAGGGAATGGCCGGCAGGGATGTAGCTCAGTTGGGGATCAAATACTTTTTTCCATCACTGTATGTCCAATCAATTGAATTTACCACAGGTGAATCACACTCCAATCAAGTTGTAGAAACATCTCAAGGATGGTCAATGGAAGGTAAGTTAGGGCGGGCCGCCGATAACACCGGCCCTGAAAAGCTGGTTACATCTTCGGCCGTTGTAGGAAAGATGTATCGTTAAAACCCTTCTATGTTCCATCGCTATGGGGAAACCGGGCCCAGGTTGTTTTCCCAGTCAATGCATAGCCATAAAACAGAACACCCAAATACCTTTACGCTACATCGTCTCTCTGTCTGGCTACCGGCCAGCTGGGTTACTGGTTGGTTCATGGCTGGCCTGACTAACTGTTTATTTGCAAATCCAGTGTATTCAGTTATATGACCAACTAGCTGCCAAACAAACTTGTTACGTGTCGTGGACTGACTTTAAGCCGATAATGAGCTCTATCTGTCGAGCTAGCAGGCTAGCTAGGTGGACTAAATATACCAGTGTATCACCATAACCTTGTTAACACTAGATACCTAGCTAGCTAGATGCCTTTCTGTGATAGCTAGAGTGATGTTTTGATAAACCACATAATTTCGGATACAGTATTTTAGGCCATTTATCTCTGTCACTACGATACGATACGATTAGGATCTAGCCAGTTAAGTGGCTTGACACGGTCAGTCACGTCATTTTTTGTGGAGCAATCGCGCATAGTTTGTTGACTATATTCTGTTTTCAAGGTAGCCAGTTAGCAATTATGTATATAAACGCAGGTCATTGATTCACAAGCACTTGAGAAAATCCCCGACTTGAAAAGACTTGACTTTGACATGTATAACCACGTAGCTAGCTAGCTAGTCTCCCTAGCCATGCATGCATCCCCTCCATACCTTTTCACGTTTGTCCCAGCTATATTGTTTAGGTGGATCCTCCGTTGCATTGCTGCTGAGGGCAATGTTGTTGGCGTTGCTGCTGCTGGTGATCGTGTTCTCTTCTACCGTCGTCGTAGGTTCTTTTTCGGGTGATTTTCTTTTAGATTTTTTGGAAAACCAGCAACCCATTTTGTCCTATTAACGATAAGCCACCAAAGGTGAATAGTAAAATATGACTAGAGTCTGTCCCCAGAAGTTATTTTGCCTACTTTGTAAGAAATATACAGGTTTTTCGGTCTTCTAGCCACCTAAGTTTCGGGCTTAACACGCACTAAACCTGTATTTGAGCTTCCCGTTTCCTTACCCAGTCAACAGCCAATCGATACTTTGCAATCCGTTACTTAGTAACAGCGAATCACAGAACAGAAAATGTCTGCGAGGGGGGGTAACCTAACTAGCAGGCGTGGAGGGAGTGGCAACGTGGACAATATCAGCCAATCAAATTAGTGTTGTGCTCGTTTTGGGGCTCGTCACTAGTTACCACAGCCACAAAGTCATAACGTCCGCCTACTCGACCAATCAGATGAGGGAGTGTGATGACGCGTATGCCACTCAGAAGGCCCGCCTACCCGACCAATGAGATGAGGAAGTATGATGAACGACGGCTGAGAAGCTGTCCGCGTTTGGTGAATTAGGATAGATAAAAGACGATTATTCAATATAGCTAAATTAATAGATTTGAACAACGATAAACGAAACGGAGAGGAAATCTGGGGCCAGTTGTACTGTTAGAGGGGCCAGTTACATTACACATTATTGTTGCTTATTGTCGTTTTCTTCACTGCATTGCAGCCATTAATAGACAAAAGACCATGTTTATAATAATTTAACAATGTATTATTAGCTTTTAAATAACATTTTTACATTTGCATTACATATTCAGTATCAGTTACATCAACTATATTCTATGGTTTTTGTGGTTTCTTGCAAAAAGATCAGCAAATTCATCTAGATTCAAGGCCTTCGCCCTCCTTGGCTCAATACTTAATACACCTAAATTGCTTAATCTCTCATCTGACTGTGGACCTAAGATACGTTTTCACCAGCTTTAGTGCAGAAAAACTCAGTTCACAAGAAGCGGTACTAACAGGGATTGAAACAGCTATTTTGCACAGTTTAAAAAGCTCAAATAACGTATTTATAAGGCTGAATGAATAACGCTAGCTCTACTATACTGGAGGGTCTCTGCATGCCACTCTTCTGAACGGATGTAGTTCATACCCCAAGTCCTCAATATTTGATTCATACATTCTAGCAAATGGAAACTTCTATTAGAGAAATGCATCACTTTTGGGGTTTAGAGTCTGGACGCCATTCATTATGTCACAGTTTTTTGCTAGAGAACCGTCTGTTAAGCTCATTGAGCATCTGATCTTAGACAGGGTAGAAAAAGGTTGTACGAAAACTGTATCTATTTCTGAATCTGACCTCTGACCTACTGTACTGAGTACACAGTCTCCATTAAATAGAGAGCTTTTTTGGTGGTTTTGCAGGGGGCTGTATTGCAGTATCACATTGCTCAGCTGTGTTCAACACTTCATTCCATAGGTCCTCAAAAAATGACTCATCCCTGTAGTCATTCAAAGTTTGAACTGAGGCTTCAACTAAATCAACAGCCTTTGACAGGTCAAGTGATGAAGACTGTAGCATATCTGATTTACATTTTGCTTCTCCATAAACGTTATGGAGTGTAACAAGGAACACAATGAATTGTAAATCTATCTGTGCAAGCAGACCTCGTGCCTCAACAGATCTGTCACCGTTGTGTTCTTGGACTATGTCTTGCAGGACTCGCTTAATGGCAGGCAATCTCTCCATAATAGTATGTAGAGCCATATATCGACATGCCCAGCGAGTGTCACTTAGTCTCTGAAGCTCTCTAGGTGCACCTGGGTACATCTCTCTCTGTACGCTAAGCCATTTTTGATGCACGTATGACCCAGATGTGAAGACATACAGTCTTTCTAGTAAGGAGAAGAACTGTCCTACCTCAGGGACAGCTTTGACTGTCTCCACTAAAACTAAGTTTAGACAGTGTGCACTGCAGTGGAGGTAAAAGGCTTTGCTTGTTCTTTAATGCGTTGCCTGGACGCCTGAATGCTTGCCACTCATAACTGAAGCACCGTCATATGCTTGGCCTACTAGGTTGTTTTTGTATTCAAGACCATGACTTTCTAATATGTGTATGATTTAGTCAGTAAGCCCTGCTGCATCTAGTCGATCAGCCGATTCAAAGTGGAGACAGCTCTCATGGACAGCTCCACTGAAATAGTTCCTAAGTCCTAGAGATATCTGCTCCTTTTTTTTAAATTACATATTTTGTTTCGTCTGCCATTATGCTAAAGACCTCACTGTCTTTCACTTCTTCTATCATTTTTGTTCGAACCATGTGTGCCAAACAACTCCGAACCTCATTCTGAATCCCTTTGCTTGTGTATTTTGCATTATGAATGGAAGTCAACCTTTTTTTCACAGTTGTGTCATGCTTAGCTATTGTTTCTAGGATTGCCATGAAGTTCCCTTCTATTATCAGACTCTGCAGACTCATCGTGTCCTCTTTGTGCAATGTTTTGTGTGGCTGTAAGTAGTAGTACTTCTCCTATTGTTTTAATATAGTCCCAGTTTTCTTGAACCTGTTTGTTGTGTTCCTTGTTTAGGGCATTACTTTTTACAGCTTTCTGATAGTCTCTCCATGTAATCATTGCTTGTTTGTGCCGCTCAGACTTTGCATGAATTGCAAATCCCCCCTCTTTGTAAGTTGCCTTCTTCCAGTTGTTAAAACCCAATTTTTAATCAAATACAGTCTGAGACTTTGGGAGGGCTAAAATGCCTGCAGGAGTAACAAAACACAGTCTGATTTGTTTGAATATTGAAGCCAGGGGTGGATGTGGTACCAGGCCGCCTTGAAGCTCCTCCTCCTGTCCCCCATCAGAGTTCTTGGGTCCATGTTCATCACTGGCTGCACCTGTGGGTCCTCCCGGGATTTGCTGATATCTGTTGAAGAAAAAAAAACTATAATTAAAAGTATCTATTTGGGTAATTTTAGACACATAGCCATCAGACAACTTCTGAAATCCATCTGATATCTATATCACAATCCCAATAGCATGTTAAATGAGATCATTCATTTCAATCATAAACCGACACATTTCTATACACCGTATAAACAGACTAATTGCAGCTTTACAACCACAGATTTATTCAACATCCCAAACCTGATGGTCCACTGCTTGTGGACGCACATGGCTCCTCTGTTGGTGCCTTACTCTCAGCCCCTCAGTCTCTACGTCCCCCTCAGCCTCAGTCTCTACGTCCCCCTCAGTCTCTACGTCCCCCTCAGTCTCTACGTCCCCCTCAGCCTCAGCCTCTACGTCCCCCTCAGCCTCAGCCTCTACGTCCCCCTCAGTCTCAGTCTCTACGTCCCCCTCAGCCTCAGCCTCCTATGTCCCCCTCAGCCTCAGTCTCTACGTCCCCCTCAGCCTCAGCCTCTACATCCCCCTCAGCCTCAGCCTCTACGTCCCCCTCAGCCTCAGCCTCTACGTCCCCCTCAGTCTCTACGTCCCCCTCAGCCTCAGTCTCTACGTCCCCCTCAGTCTCTACGTCCCCCTCAGCCTCAGCCTCTACGTCCCCCTCAGCCTCAGTCTCTACGTCCCCCTCAGCCTCAGCCTCCTATGTCCCCCTCAGCCTCAGTCTCTACGTCCCCCTCAGCCTCAGTCTCTACGTCCCCCTCAGCCTCAGCCTCTACGTCCCCCTCAGCCTCAGCCTCTACGTCCCCCTCAGCCTCAGTCTCTACGTCCCCCTCAGCCTCAGCCTCCTATGTCCCCCTCAGCCTCAGTCTCTACGTCCCCCTCAGCCTCTACGTCCCCCTCAGCCTCAGCCTCAGCCTCTACGTCCCCCTCAGTCTCTACGTCCCCCTCAGCCTCAGCCTCTACGTCCCCCTCAGCCTCAGCCTCTACGTCCCCCTCAGCCTCAGTCTCTACGTCCCCCTCAGCCTCAGTCTCTACGTCCCCCTCAGTCTCTACGTCCCCCTCAGTCTCTACGTCCCCCTCAGCCTCAGCCTCTACGTCCCCCTCAGCCTCAGCCTCTACGTCCCCCTCAGCCTCAGCCTCTACGTCCCCCTCAGTCTCTACGTCCCCCTCAGCCTCTACGTCCCCTTCAGGCTCTACGTCCCCCTCAGCCTCAGCCTCTACGTCCCTCTCAGCCTCAGTCTCTACGTCCCCCTCAGCCTCAGCCTCTACGTCCCCCTCAGCCTCAGTCTCTACGTCCCCCTCAGCCTCTACGTCCCCCCTCAGCCTCTACGTCCCCCTCAGCCTCAGCCTCTACGTCCCCCCTCTACGTCCCCCTCAGCCTCAGCCTCTACGTCCCCCTCAGCCTCAGCCTCTACGTCCCTCTCAGCCTCAGCCTCAGTCTCTACGTCCCCCTCAGCCTCTATGTCCCCCTCAGCCTCAGTCTCTACGTCCCCCTCAGCCTCTACGTCCCCCTCAGCCTCAGCCTCTACGTTCCCCTCAGCCTCAGCCTCTACGTCCCCCTCAGTTTCTACGTCCCCCTCAGCCTCTACGTCCCCTTCAGCCTCTACGTCCCTCTCAGCCTCAGTCTCTACGTCCCCCTCAGCCTCAGCCTCTACGTCCCCCTCAGCCTCAGTCTCTACGTCCCCCTCAGCCTCTACGTCCCCCTCAGGCTCAGCCTCTACGTCCCCCTTAGCCTCAGCCTCTACGTCCCCCCTCAGCCTCAGCCTCTACGTCCCCCTCAGCCTCAGCCTCTACGTCCCTCTCAGCCACAGCCTCAGCCTCTACGTCCCCCTCAGCCTCAGCCTCTACGTCCCCCTCAGCCTCAGTCTCTACGTCCCCCTCAGCCTCTACGTCCCCCTCAGCCTCAGCCTCTACGTCCCCCTCAGCCTCAGTCTCTACGTCCCCCTCAGCCTCAGCCTCTACGTCCCCCTCAGCCTCAGCCTCTACGTCCCCCTCAGCCTCAGCCTCAGCCTCAGTCTCTACGTCCCCCTCAGCCTCAGCCTCTACGTCCCCCTCAGCCTCAGCCTCTACGTCCCCCTCAGCCTCAGCCTCTAGTCCCCCTCAGCCTCAGCCTCTACGTCCCCCTCAGCCTCAGCCTCTATGTCCCCCTCAGCCTCAGCCTCTACGTCCCCCTCAGCCTCTACGTCCCCCTCAGCCTCTACGTCCCCCTCAGCCTCAGCCTCAGCCTCTACGTCCCCCTCGGCCTCAGCCTCTACGTCCCCCTCAGCCTCAGCCTCTACGTCCCCCTCAGCCTCAGCCTCTACGTCCCCCTCAGCCTCA